TGTGGATGCTACAAGTGCCTATAAGTGCACCCTACCACCATACCCCCACCACCCCGCCCCCACCACCTCACCTCAACGCCCCCTCCACCTGGTGACTCAGACAGATAAACACTATGCACAGCGACCTTTACCACGGAGAGGAAACGCGCCGTGACAAAGTTAGATTCATTTTGGCAGCTCTTTTTACCTTTTATCCCTGGATAACTTAGCGCTGCCAGGGTCCTCATCCTTCACAAATAGTACTTTAAAAGAGGAGAATAGACTACAGTATAAAACCCATTATTCTGCCATCTACTTTTATTATTGCGATGATAAAAGCCTGCCTTTGGAAGTCAGTGCTGTGCAAATGTATGCTGCGGTTACTGAAATCTAGTTAGAAATTTGAGCTGTAATGTGTATTAGTGGTCCCATAGGAGAGACTAGCAGCCATAGCAACATATGAAAAGCTATAGGATGTAAACGTAAACAGATGCCCGGGCCCACCTGGAAAAGTGTTCATATCTTTACTATAGCGTTGGCTGTCTCCTCATATCTCTGCACATTTCAATCCCCTATGCGTGATTTATAGGCACTATAAGATATTTGATACCGCCGCACGGTCCAGTATCTGTGGCCTGTGGTGAAATAAAAAGATAGTGCTCAGTCGGCTATGAATCAAATCCAGCATGTCTGGCTGTGTTAGGCCGCTCATATCCAAGTGTAATGAAATGAACTATAGTGTTTCCATAAAGAAGCTACAAGAGTGCACAGGAGATGTGTGTTAAGATATCACAAGACATTATTATAAACAAGGCTTAATATCAAAGGCGAGGGTACTTTGAAACATGAACTGTCTGAAGTGGCTATTCTTCATTTTCATACTGGTTTGTTCAGTTTTTTCATTTTAAACATTTATACTGTAACTTTATTAGACATAATGCCTCCTAGAGAATATGATATGATAAAAAGTCCTATGTACTTTTATGTTTTACTATCAAGGGACAACATCTGAACATAAAGATTCAGTTTTATTGTTACCATATATATTTTGAATTTTGTTCATGATTATTAATATCATGACCAATATAAATTCACGGGGTATAATAATACATTAACAAAATAAGTGACAAGCTTTACAAAAACAAGCTTTGTGAAAGATGCAAATTTAATGAGGCATAAACATTCAGATAATAAGCACCTCACATAATTAAATTGAACTGAAAATTATTAAATTTTTGTATAAAAATATTTATCTTGAGTTCTTACAATTTATATATATATATATATATATATATATATATATATATATATATATATATATATATATATATATATATATATATATATATATATATATATATATATATACATATATGTGACATATATAGATAGATAGATAGTGTGTGTGTGTGTGGGTGTGTGTGCGTGTGTGGGTGTGTGTGTGTGGGTGTGTATTTATATGTAGGTATGTGTATATCTATATGTATAAGTGTGTTTATAATTACCCTGCATATTTAGGTTGTGTTCTTTTCTCAAAGAAAAAGACTCCAGATTTCAGTGTCAGGTGGTAATACGGGAAGTGTTTTTAAACTCCAGACACCTTCGCAAGAATCATGAATAATTATAATTGAATAATTTCAGCTCTGGAATTGCAAATCTCTATTGAACAAACAGTAAACTTAAAAACCACTACTATATGACATCACAGGGTGGAACAGAACAGAGATGTAGACTGACTAGTAATAAAGGGATACTCAAACATGTGTGAATGAAACAAAACGCTTGATTAGGTACCAACATTATAACATGGCTGAAAGCTCACAAGAATCTATGTGTAATAGTGGACCTTGAATAGTTCAAATGAAGCCAGCATTAAGTCTATGTACTTGATAGTGCACAGGTCTATAAACAGCACTTGCTATAATGGATACAGTCCCTGGATCACTCTTGAAACATGCTCCACTCAACCCAACCTTAAATCAATACTCTTCTGCCTTAGTCTACATGATGTGCACGGTAGGAGGCTGATGTCCCGGCTACATTTCTGAAATACACTTTGAGAACAACAACATCTCATCTCACCCAGTTTACATAACGCCTATGGTTAAAGTTGCTTATTCATTTATATCTGGAACATGGGCTTCATCTGAAGTTATGGGATTTGCTTTGATTGGATACAGAGAAGAATATTAACCAAAAGCCCAACAGCCTCACCATAAACACATTAATTACAAGGCTCTGGAGTGTTAATGCGCAACAAAATCAATTCTGCAAAGTTTCCATTGGCAGAGCTTGCTCTTGGACTCAATTAATTCATTATTCAAAAAGAGATGTTCATAAAGTATTGTTAAAATAGTGGGCAAACAGTTCCCACGTTGACGGTAAAAGACTATTTGACAATGTCCCTGCAGTGAAAGAGGATGTGTTCTCCGAAATCATCATTGGAAACATAGCTGTGATTTTTTACAAGGCACCCCCGCACTTTTATGTTGATTAAAAAGCAGAGGAGTCAATGCCAGAGATAATGAGTCATCCAGACAGAGAGGAACAGGAGAGCACAAGATGTCAGCCAGGCCATGACCTTCCATGAGATACACATACATATAAATCTATTACAGATATATCGAATTTATTTGGAATTTATTACCAACATTTATATTTTTGCTCTTTGTTATTATGTTATATTGTGATGTGTGAGTTACTGTGTCCAAATAACTTCCTTTGTGGATCAACAAAGTTTGTCTAAATCTAAGTCTAAGTCTATATCCCTTTTTTCATTTGTTTTTAATTTGTGAAATGCCGAAAAATAGTATAGACTTTTTATTTTCAATTAAATCAATGTAAATCAATGATGAATGATTTTCTGAAGCAATACCTAACAAACTGAAATCAATTACCCCCATGTCTATTTCTGAGCTTAATTGAATCAGTTCATTAGAGGTGCATAATATAAAGTTTCTGACGGAATGTATGTCACCTCCTCGTCTCTATAGAGATGGTATTGCCTTGTCCAGAATATTCCACAGTAAAGCAATAAATGTATCTTGCCATGTAGACTCACAATTATAGAGTGCACCTTTAACCTGTTGAAAATATGAACGGAAGTTATCTGAAAAATGTTGTTAGTCACACAATCATCTCAAGGTTAACTAAGTATGATGTTACCAAGGCAACAATTATTAAAAAAAACAAGTCCAGAAGAGTACATTCTCAAGGCAAAGAAGTCAGGCTTTATGTCATGATTGTAACTCATGTTAAAAATCAAGCTAATAGTGTCTTCTCTTTATCACTACAGCACTTGAAAAGGCATTGTACCTTAAAAGAAATCAGTCATTTTTGTTAGTAGCTATAAATAACTTTATAGAAGGATGCATTTGAATAAAATCAATAATACATTATTTGAATTTGTGCTCCATGCTCTTTTAAAAACAATCTTAAATTAACCTTGGTTTCTTATACAGTTTCTTGTAACTCATAGGCCTACATTTAACACCAGTAGTGTCTGAAGCCATGGAATGCATTGTACCTTTAATACGAATTGATTTGATGTCTTGGCAGATATGTAGACTTTGGGTCCATATGGTTTTAATGTATGTGTAAATGAATCCCCATGTGACCTATACCCATTACATTTATATGTCAAATTATTCATATGTATGAATAAATTAACAGGGTTTTCTTCTGATTTTCACTCCGTGCATGTCATCTCCCTCCCACCAACAAACCCACCCACCCACCCACATACATAGCATACCGCGAGCATGTATACTATATTTAGAAACATATAATTGCCCATCGCAGACATCTCCAGTGCTGTCCAGTGACACAGCATAATGCACAAGGGGACTCATTAAAAACAATAAGTTCAACCCGCTCCCTCTGTGACGATGGACAAGTCTATTTTATACATAACATATAGACAATTGAATGTGGAATGTATCTAGGGTAAAGGGGGTGAGTCATTCATAACTATTCTAGGCATAAATTAAGTAAAGATGTGAGAGAGGATAACAAGGTGTCTACATTTTTAGCTTGCTGTTTTGAATAGACTGGCAGCCTTGAAAATGATTCCCCTCTATGTCTGTATGAATCATCGTGGTGCACACAAGCAGGCAGATCTGTATATAACTGTTTCCAGATAAAGTTTAGGCAGTCATGTCTCCCGAATGCTAATCTCGGAAGGGCGAGCGTGATTGGAGAATAGTTCCTCACCTGAAAAGAGATGGATCGTGAGATGGTTTCTAAAGCCCTGTAATCTCCATCCGTCACAACAAAAGAGCTCAATTATAAGTAGGGATTCAATTGTAAGTCATACTTTGGACACATGCCATCCCTGAAAAATGACAGGGGGGATGTCTAAGGCAGGGCTGGAAGAACAAATCAAGGGTAATGAAACACAGGCAAGCCAAGTCCGCAAGTGAAATAAGGCTGGGAGAAACACTCTGAGCAGGTGTGAGCTATAATGAAATATTTAAGTGGGCCTGAAATGACATGCTCTTGAGAGATATGAGCAGGTAATTTTATGATGATGGAAACTATTAAAATCATATGAAATTTAGTGCATCATTTGAGCAGCATGTGGATCAAACCAACTATAAAATTTATTGTCAAAAGATGTCCTTTCCAACCTGTGCTAAGTGTGGTTTGTATAATTTATTGGACTAGTAAGACAGAGCAGAGAAGCCAGGCAACAACTTTGAGGAGAAACAATAAGCACCATTCATCTACAAGGCCTGCACGATTATGTAACTCCAGCTTCAGCCAATCTGCAAACGTCAATGACACAGAGTTATGAACGTTAAGATATGAATGTAGTGTTCGCATTTACAAAGCAGAATCCCATCAAGATTATTAACATAACTTTTGTAATGCATGCCATACCGTGGTGAAACCATGGAAGTCAAGGGACTTCAGCACCACGGATAGAGTCCGTGCGCAGCTAAACAGATTCAGAAAACAGTACCTCTCCAAACCAAACTTCGTTTAAAAAGAGCAAAAACAAAACTAAAACAATGTCTTACCAAATTTTCTGTCGGCGATGGTAGTTGGGAAGCAGAGGCTGACAGCCAGTGCTACCAGGAGGATGGGACAGCACCGAGAATCCATAGCGCTTGTGCCTGTACTACGAATCCATGGCTCACCTCCGCTAAAAGAGCATGTTTACCGCAGGTGTGTGGGAGCCGCTCGATACGCTACACATTCGGGCTAAAGACACACGTCTGGACAGGAGGAGAGCACCGAACCGAGCTTTCTCCAGACGACACACAATACAGGCGTTGTTTCAGCACCACAACACCGAGCAGCGCCACGGAAGAGCCCCTCCTAAGTGTCTGACGTCAAACACACATGTGAGGAGGGATGTGCACTTGTGCAGCGTGCAACAGTGCCCGGGACGCGCCACCGAGACACGGCTCTGAGACACGGCACCGACACGCCAGTGCTGGAGAGGGATATGCCGGGGTGTCTCATACAGGGAAGAGAGAGCGGCCATAAAGAAAACTCTGTTACATTTATGAATCTTCTTAAATCTATAAATCTACTACAAATTTTGCATCTGTACACTTCCTGTGAGTGTGTGGAAAGAGCTGGCATTGGCAAACGACGTTTCCATTTTTTCTATTAGATTTAAGCAGTGGCACCTTGTAAATGCCAGAAACTAATTGTGTACTGTACTGCGTCTATTACTAACAATATTAATAACCTCCACTAATGAGCAATCAGAGTATACAGATAATAGTTTATTCTCAAGGACACACACATATGAAAAAACACATGTAGCCAAAAAAAATAAAAATACAAGAATACAAACCACATATAATTGTTGTACACCATAATATATGAAAAAGTATATTTTTCAACACAGAGAAAAGCATTTGTGATTTTTTTTTCTTTAACAAACCAAGTATTGATGATGATCATTCTTGTTAATAAGATAATTAAAAAGTCATACAGTCCAAACAATATATTATAAATCCAAGAGGTTGTTAATGGTCTTGACAGAAGATTCATAAATTGCCCTGTAGGATTTAACAAAAATAATTAGCAACAGAAAAATATAAACCAAATACAACATGCATTTCCTTCTATGTACCTCTGGATGTCTCCACCGTCCACCGTCACAATGGCATGTCTTTCAAGCTGTCTTTGGACACATTCTGCAGCACTCTTTAGGCCAGATTTAAACTTCCCGGCTAAAACATACACAGAAACATTTTACAATACAGATAGTCAAACAATATGAATACAACAAGGGCATTATGTGTTCTCACCGTGTTTAATGACAGCCAGGATGTGGAGGACCGCAGCCAGCTCAGTCAGGCTCTCAATGGCTTCGGATTCTAAGGAGGAGCTAATTTCAGCCAGAAAAGCCCTGAAGACAAAAGGGCACAAGAAGTTCAAAATGCACTCAAACTTTGGGAAAAATAAACTCACGAATCCAGTAATTGATTTCTTTGATATTTACTTTGTTACTAATGGTGACTTGAGAATGGTGGAGAGAAGGATGCTGGGTAAAGGAGGCATATCATCCAATGTTTCTGGAACAATGACCTCTTCTGGATGGGAAATCTTTAAAACACAATCTCATATGGGATCATCAGTACTAACCAAGTCATATTTAAGTTATCATTTATTTACTTGACCAAATTACCTTGTTTAGAGTATATCTTTTCTCAACCACAATGATAGCAAAGAGAGTGGAGAAGACCCCGTTCAGAGGCGCTCTGTCCCAGGTCTGGGCAGTCTGGAGGAATCCTGTGAGCGCGGCTACAGATGACTGACACAGCTGGATCAGGGAAAGACATTTTGTTGTCAAACTTTGTTTGGTCCAGGCATAGACTGTATAAAAAAGTGGACCAAGCAAGTGTGACGTCACCCATAGCTTTCAGCACCACTCAAATGAAGCTCACGCTGCTAACTGATCATGTAGAGTGGGTTGATACGAATATTTTAAAACCAAAATGACGAGGCTCACAGCAGCATTTACAGAGAGAGGGGCCACAATATTTCAATGTAAGTCAATGGGAGCCAGGGTCAGTAGGAGCCGGAAAAGCTCGCATGCGAACTTCCTATTTGGTACGCGGTGGCTAGCTCGTTAACAATATTCATTTATATATACAGTCTATGGGTCCAGGTAAGAGTAAACAGCGAGCAGAGTAAGAAAGACTACTGTGAAAGTCAAAAAAACACAAATACATCCTGTGTTACCATACTTTTGGGGGACATTCAACTGACTTAATCTAACTTCCTGGAGACTGATCCCAACCTTAAACAGAGTTACTACATGCAAAACATTAATCTAAAATTAAGCTTGACCCATTTAAACTCAATATTTGATCATGTGTGAGTGTGTGTGTATAGATTTTAGTCACCACATTGATTAATACCTGCCTACTCTCATTCAATACTGGCACATTTACAGAATTATTAATGTGCATTGTCCCTGTTCAAATAAACAAAATAATAAACAAAAATAACACAATAATTATACAGAATCACCTTAGCATTATTTTAGCATAGTAAAAAATTTATGCTAACCAACTAAAGCTTCAACAACAAATTCTCAGAAAACAATAATGTCACCCGATGTCACTGAGGCCTGTCATACCTGTTGTCCCTCCTCAGGATCCTTTCTCAGGTGTCGAGCAAGGAGTTCAATGATTTTCTGAAAGATGTTGGCCACCACACCGAGAATGACAGTGGTTGGATTCTCTGGGTTGTCCAGGGCCTCGTTATCCTCTGGTACATAGCTGTCTGCCACCTCTTTTAAAATAGGCAGTATCGCCGGTATGCACAAATAGCCAGCCTCTGAAAGCCAAAAACAATATGCATAATGACTTTCAGTTAATGATACACTTACCATATTGAGCATAAACGTGGAGCATTTACATTCACTCACCTGAGAGAAGGATGAGTGAGCACAGATGGAGAATTTGACCTCTGAATGTCTCCTCAGACAAACCCACAAGTAAAACATCTCTGCACACTGACAGGAAGCCCTTGCAATAAATGTTCATGATTAGATTAAATGAATGAAGCATATGTAAGATTGTCTTGTTTGTATGTTGGATGTCTAACAGAAGCTATAATTCAGGAAATCAGTGTAACAAATGCAGGTATTATTTTCAATATCTGGTCACGGCAGTCAGGCGGAGACAGGCAGGAGGCTAGAGCAATGGCACAAATAAGAAAATGAGCTCATTTCAAAGTAGCAGCACGAGCAGCAGGAGACACAGTGTCAGTGTGGACTGGAGCACAACAGCTTTGAGGAATAAAAATTTACAGAGCAGAACAGAAGGCCCCAGGAACAGGAGGCACTGGGCTGCATTCAAATTAATAAACTTAATGGAATAGTAGAGAAACTAGCAGATTTTTGTGTTAAATGTATCTATTATCTGCTGATGTTAATTAGCTTTGTACTTATGTTTATTGGTCAAACTCACCTCAATGATCTGCACAGCCAGTGAAAGAGGTGCCCCCAAACCCTCTCCTTCAATTTCATTTGGTTTAACCATGAAAGGCAGTACTCTCTCAGATATCCAGGAGGCATCCAGTTCCAAAGAGAGGAGATAGTCTCGATTGTTAGAAGACTATAAAATAAGTTCATATTTTTCCTTCACCTCTAATGATCAAACTTGATGAAAGAAAACATTGAGCATTAGCAGGAAATATTAACTCACACTATGCTGCAGATGAGCCCCAAGGCGCCCATGACATGTGAAGGCTTTCAGGGCTGTTTGCACACTGGCTCCACTTGGCTCCTCGGAGGACTTCAGGTGAGCATACAGGACGAGCTGAGCACAAGAATGTCACATTTACACTAAATATTACTACTTGCCACATAAACATGTCCACATGCACAGTACCTTCCAGTCTCTCAGAAGTGAATGGAGGTGCTTCAGAGGTCGCCGTCCAAGTGCCAGGACCTTTTCTCTAGTCTGGCTGTGAGTAAGCAGGTACTCCAGGTACGCTAATGCAAGATCTGGTTTGGTCTCAACTGTTTCCTGAATACGGACCTTTCGACTGGGAGCAGCTTTATCCTTATATTTAGAGATTAATTAGGTTGCATTTTTAGTTTCATTCAAGTGGCCAACATACTCATATTAATTATATCTATGTACTGCATTTTCAAACAACATACCGAGCCTGTAGGCAGTGGCTCTGAGAGCCAGTCGTTAATAAGCTCCACTATTTCAGCAGCCTTGCCCCAACTACACAGACAGTCCAACAGCTGGCTGTACTGTTTTGGCACTGCGCCGGTCTCTATCCTCCTCAGCTTTGACAGGACCCCACAGCTGTCTCCAAGGAGCAGGATGTAATGAACAGCATATGCATAATAAAGAAAAGTGTATACATATGTGGTTAGAAAAAGACTTAATAAATGATCAAAAACACCCAAAAGGCCATTTTACCTGAAGGTTGGGACAGCAGCTGGAGGCATAAATGAGGCCAGTTGTACAAGTGGAGGAGTGCAACGTGCATCCTAAAAATAATTTGTATTTTGTTGATATCCTCACTGTTAACTGTTTATGTAGTCTGTCATGCTATTTACCTCAAAAGCAGAAAAGTACTTTCCCATGACACTGCCAAACTTGGCACAGGTAAATTTCTGGGCTTCTTCATTTTGTTTCAAGGTTTTATCAACACTCCTCCAGAGGATGACCACAATCTCCAGCAGACTGGCCACAACAGCCATGTCTTTTCCCAGCACCGCACATTCAGTCTGTCAGATACTAAACAGTGTAATTAAATTGGAAGAAGGCATAGAGTATAGAATAGGATGATTATTATACGTGATTTACAGAGCTGTTCTCCTTGTTACTGTCATTCATATCAGAGACATCACAATCCTGAACACAGCTATTCAGAACACGGCGAATAGCCAGCATCAACTTAACTGTAAAACAAATGCATGTATTTGACACAACACCAAAATCCATGTGAAACATGTTCTTATAGCACTACTTACTTATGTTGGTAGGAGCTGTATGCTTAACAGCAAACTGATAAAACTTCCGGGCCGCCATGGGGTTCATCTGAATGAGGGTGATGCAGCGACTGCACCACTCCTTCTCGGGCTCGTTTACAGGAAAAAAGGACTTGAACAACAGATTGACAATGCGCTTTGACACAGACTGGGTGTCAATGGCAAGGCGTGCAAGCAGGTGGTCTGTATGGCACACATCCCAAAACTTGACAAATGGGAATTTAAAGTGATTAGTGGCATATTAAATGGTTAAAATAAAAAACAACTGTTTTTACTGTAAATTTTTTTGTGTTACATAGCTGTTCGTACCTTGGCTGCACGCACTGCCTTGACTTTGATAAGCATGTCAAGGAAAGCTGTACGGACTTTTTCAGAGTTGTCATGAAGACTGTACTTAAGATTAGGTAAGAGTTTTTCCAACAAAGGATGGCTCAGAGCATTGTCCAGAACAATGGTCAGACACTAGAAAGAAAAAAACATTTTCTGTAATGTAGAGCCCGACCGATATGGATTTTGTTGTGACCGATATGAAACCAGTATAATGGGAGTTGGAGCTGCCGATAGCCGATATAATCGCTGATATATTTAGTGATGTAAAAATTCACTGTAAATCTTGAATTGATTAAAAAACTTAGGTTTGGCTCTAGTGGATTCTAAATTGGGTTTATTTAGGCAACATTTATTGTTATTTTGACGCTTTACATCATATTTACATACAGTAGATTGGCCTAATGGCATTTTTGCATCACATTCTAGCTACTGTTACTGTCACTGCTAGTGATGGGTATTCCAGTTTTTTTGGGGGGTTTTTGGTTTGTTTTTTTTGGAGAACCGGGTCGGCTCACTAAAGCAACTGGCTCTTTCGGCTCCCAAGTGACTCTTGAGATGGTTTTGTTGCAAGCAGGACTAAACCAGAACTGAACCAGGACTGAGTGTCGGGACTCGGTTTCTATCTCTCTCAAGCCCAAGATTAGTCCTGGTTTATTCATTTTATGCTGAACTGCAGCCAAATATGCACTTTTTTATCCTATGCACACGCAGATTTCTGAAAGTTTCGTTTTCAGCCGCTGCTGCTGTCAAACTACGGGTCTACAAGCGGCATGAAGAGAAAAAGTGAGAAAAAGAGAAAACACGGCTCCCAATAAGAAACACGCTCCCGTTGTTCGCTTCAAAGAGCCGGCTCTAAGAGCCGCTTCGATCGCGACCGACCCGTAACTCCTAGCAATTGCTATTAGCCTTTAGCCGTAAAAACGGGCGCACCGCCGTAATTAATTATATGCATAAATGTGGATCATTCACACGTCTATTCACAGCTCATTTACATATCCATGCTGGTCCAGTAACAAATATACGGCCAATGTAGTCACTTTACAATAGACCAATAGAAAACAGCCTGTTTATGTGCGGGAGCTACAGCAGCTGATCGCTAACAAAACCTAAATTAGCTTCAAAGTCGATGTATTTCCAACACTCACCGCTCACACAGGCTCCTCCTCACATCACAAGTCTGCACTAATAAATGTCCTTTTAATCCAGACTCAAACCGATTGTCCGAAAAAGAAAATAATCTCAGTGTTGCACACGGCTGCGGGTGTAAACAAACACACGCGAGTGAAGTGAGGTCACTCTGGTGGTGTGTTCAGGGACAGTACGGACACAGACACAGACAAATTTCACCGTAATAAATACTGATGCGGAGCCACATATTAGGACATTTATCTGTCTGTAAATTGGATTAAATGAACATAATGTAGAGAGTCTAAGCTTTATAACGAGGTATAACATGCCAATGTGAAATATCGGCCCATATCAGCAAGCATATCGGCCGATAGCCGATATGTCTCCAGGTGCCCATATTGGCCGATAATATCGGCCAGCCGATATATCGGTCGGGCTCTACTGTAATGTTTAGTATAACAGTTTGCAAAAGAAAATGGAAGCTTCCTTTGCCCCCTTATATTAAGGCCTGTAAGTGGACAATGTGAAAGTACCTTAAAGACTGAGCATCGGACATCTGCTGAACTGCTGTCAGTTGCAAGCTCCAGCAAAATCTTCTTCAGGAAGTCTGTAATTATTATGGGTGGGAACAGCTCCCAGCACTTAGCTAGGATCTTACACACTCCTAGGATAGCGTTGGAGCGCACAATGGGATGAGGATCATCCAGGAGACTCTGTTCAGGAGTACTTATATTATTAAAATCATAGTAAGATCTACAAATACGGCATCAATACTGTACTTACCATTGCAGCATCGAGCTGTTTTTGCACAACTGTATCAACATTCTTAACATCATCAGGGTCATGAATGGGAAAGGCCTCAGTGAAAATGAGAGTTGCATTTGCTCTGACCTCTGAGTTTGGTGCCTGGCCAAATAAAGACATATTTCATAAATCTAAGTAATGTTAGATTATCATCCTGCAAACTGAAGAAAATTGTAAAAATTAAGAGACTATGTAGGTACGTTTAGTGCTTTCCAGAGAATGGGCTTGTAGAGTGTGTAGAGCATCTTGTCCACCTGGTGACAGCCTTTCCTCAAATGGAAGTAGCTTACAATCTTTGTGACAGAATAGCAAAAAACATGAGCAAAAAGACACTAGGGACAAGGAGACTCAAAATAAACATGCACAGCCAGGACACAGTCAGTGGCAAGAATTCTACCTGTCTGACTTTGCTATACACAGGAGATGCTCTGTGCAGCAAGATGGCATTCTGCATGAAATCCTGAATACAAGTGCTTTCAATCTTATCTAAAAAGTCTCCATTGGCTTTTTTCCAAGCTCTGAAGTAGATCTCCATGATGTGTTCAATAGTTTTCCTGCAAAAGGGTAGTGAGTAATAGGTAAAAAAATGTTGTTGCAAAAATAAACAAATATAATAGCGTCTTACTTGCTAAAGAACTCCAGCTGGTTCTTGATAGTGCCATGAATGACCCAAATAAAGTTGATGTTCCAGCTAAAAAGAAACACCAGGAATCTCTTTCCCTGAGAAAGCACGTCCGTTAGTTTTGCAATAACAGAAGTGAAAAATTAAACAATAAATCTTAAAAGTGAATCAATGTTCTGCTTACGTCATCATTCCTTATAATATCAGAACGATAAAAGCATTGAAGTAATAAGTCAGCTATCTCCTTGTTGTCATCAGAGTTGTAGTCCAGAGTCAAAACTACCTCATGAAGATTCCAGATTCGCTGAATTTCAACACTCTGAAAAACAAAAGACAACAAAACAGACATAATACATCTGAAGTTCATCCGTCTTAAATAAAATCATACATGACACGTACAGGCCTTTTCAGAACAAAGCACTTTCGCAGGGACACATATAAAGCAGTGCGACCAAATTTCTCTTTTTCTTCTAGTCCCCTTTTCCACCACAGCTCACAAAGAGAATGTAAAGCAGACAGCAGTGGTGCCTCTGAAATGGGTAGCAATACCAGCACATCTGCAAAAAGACAGTTATGTACAATTATTTTAAACCGTCAAGACAAAAATATTTACAAAGAAAAAAAGTAAAACTATTACCATGAAGCACATTAACAATTCCCAAGAGGGCAGCATAGGTTTCACCATCCTGAAGAACTTGCACCGACTGTGTAGCCACAAGTGTCACACCTTCCACAACAGCTATAACATGTTTCTAAAAAATAAAACATTAGCAATACAAACACTGTCTTTACAAATCTTTAGTAATAGTGTTCTAGTTTTTATAAACACTAAAAACCCCACAGAATCCAAAGAAATCTCCACTTCCATGTCCTCCAGTCTCTCGTCTTTCTTCTCGTCCCAACGCTGAGGGGGCAGTTTGGACAAGACATGTTGTAATAGTAAAGATAGTCTTCCCCATAGAGTATCCCTCTGGTCTCTGGGCATCTCCTGCACCACCTCCTCCACGTCAAAGGGCTCCGTTTTGTCATTCTAGGCACAAATTTGACAAGAATAATTTGCAGTGTTTGTGGTAGTTGACATTTCGCTTGCAAGGCGAAATCTTTTGCTACATAGAGAGGAGTTTATTATTTATCGTGTTACTCCATAAAGTCTATATGTCACTCACATGAAGTTGGATAAAGCGCAGGAAGTCTTCAGCATTCTCCTTACAGGCAGCGTTTAAAAACGCCTCTCGTTTCAACATGATTCACCTTGCTGTTCTTCTAAATATATTATAACATTAAGGAATTTCTTATGTCGTTAGGTATTGGTATTTTCTGTTCACAAATCAGGAGCGTCACCAAAACGCAGCAAGTACTGTGCGTAAGATTTATCATCTTTCATTTTTATCACAATAGTCTGTATTAACAATATGAGGTATAACATAGTAAATACTTACCTTTTAATCAAGAAATCTTCCACTTTTCATCAGCCAAACGTCAACTTCCCACAACAACGGCGAACCCGCGCAAATTCAATGTGAGTGCGTCATCACGACGTTCCACGCACCAGACGTTACGTCGCATGCTGTTTGCACCTTCGGCCACATGATGGCGACAAAGTACTGGATAAATTTAACAAGTTTTCATACAAGGCCTTCTGTCAGAAAAATACAACCTCTGAAAAAGAAGAATCATTTTGAAGTTTGGTACTTTTATGTCAAGATGTATAAACATAGAACTGTTGACAAGAGAAACCATTTATTTTCAAAAATTCATGAGGCATCATACCATTCAAAACCATAACAAGGCAAAATTACTTAGTGTTGTAAGGCACAGGATAGATAAATAAACAGTTTTAAAAGCTCAGACAGTCATTACTGCAATGCAAACATGTACAAGCCCGTCTGGCAAGTGACAGCCAAGTAAAATAAATAACATTTTGTCACATTTTGTTCAACTTGTTTTTGATGTAAAATCAATTCCATTGAAATGCACTATAGCCCTAAATATCTCTTTTCAGTGTCCAAGACAATATTCACAGATCTAGCATCTCACAGTCATCATTACAGTATCAAGCAGTATTTCCATTCTGTACATATTGTGCATTCATCAGTTGTATTCAAGCATAAAACATCAAAAAGTAAACAATCCGATAACACTGCATAACAATATCACAGGGAGACTTTTGCCAACATACATGATTGTTTTGTGTCCTTTGGTAAAGGTCTTGATACATAATGTAAAAGACTCACATTTTAACAAATTGGACAAAAGGCAATGCAATTTATACATATTTAAATTAAATTTGAATAAATAAATATATTTCCAAGAAACTTTTGCAAATTACGCTTTTTATATTTACACAAAACACTGAAAATAAAAGCAGTTAGTGTTCTTCAACACAATATGTTACAATACCTCAATTGTAATGTAATAGGAGCATTTCTTCAAATTTAAGAAATGTTTTACATGCTTAAAACCATAGAAAATTTTACAAAATAATAGATACATTTAAAATGATGGGCCCATAAATCAAACAATCATGTTAATACAGCAGAGGAACAGTGTTCACGTGAGGAGCGGATCTTGAATACTTCGGACACTTTGAGACAGTCCATCTTCACTCAGTTCATACCTATACATAAAATAATGCATTTTAGAAGCCTCTCATAAAATTACATATAAATAAAATGCAAACTAGCGAACGCACCAATTTGTCCATCCTTTGGATATATCTTCACCACTCAGATCAACCAGTGCCTGCAAATGTAAACATTATAATGTTAAGATAAGCATAGTGGCTTAGCAGTGGTTATGGTAGGGATATAGCAGCATTTTACTTTACCTTTCCTAAAAGCCCTCTGTGTTTAGAGAGAAGGCTGCCACCATTTTTAACAGCTACATCCAGTATCCTTCTGTGTAGTTCTACCATAGATACGCTAAACTCAAACCTAAAGGATTACAAAGTATTGCATTACACACAACACAAAACAAAGATACCAGTGTTTCCTCTGTCCTACACTTTTACCAGTACTTACGTTTGATCATAAACAGGATTCACAGTCCTCTTCATGGTGCCTGTTTTCCTTCTTCCTGTCCGGCTTTTGTCCGGCAGCAAATACAGACGAACAAAAGGATCTGAGCCATCTTTGGTGAAGGCAATCAAATTTCTGGAAGCACATAGAACAAAATTGTTGGACTCTGGTTTCCTCAAAGTCATCTTTATTCAAAATAATTTCTTTCTCTACAGCTAAATTAAAATCTTGTGCCAAAAGTGACACAAGCATTAGCTTGAAGTATTTTAAGAGAGATTTAAATCTTACCGACAAGAGTGCACCACCACAATGAGTTTATTCCGCTGAGAGCTGTGTCGAACCGTCAGCTGGACTTCACCCAGGGGATACTGGCCTGGGGCCGAGCCACTAAAAACACACCACACCACATCAGTCAGGGCAATGTCACTTTTAGAGGCAGCCTAGCAGCTAGAGGCTAGCTACACCTAATGTGTGTGCAAACCTTTTCAGAAAGGGATACCTAGTTTGACAAGAATGTAGATAAATAATTTAACAATATATTGTTTTGTCATTCTCTAAGAGCATATTGTACTACATAACATAGTTACATTATATACTATATACTATGAAGTCTAATTACTTTTGTAGATGGCGGAGTCTCTGTTGGAGCTCTTGCGTGGCAAAGGGTAGAGAGACGTCTGAGGCCAAACTGGGCGTGGACTCTTTATGAGGAAGGTGCTTCTGGGAGCTGGATATGCAGGTGCTGAGGTTGGAGGTACTTCGCAGAGGACTGGCCGAGTAAGGCTCTCCATCTCTGCAGTGGAGGCTGAGAGAAGATACAGCCATGCCTGGAGGAGGGGTGGGTGGGGGCAGGGTGGAGTCAGAAGATGCAGATAGTCTTTGGGTGGATGCTATATTTGGCTGTGCCGAACTGGACTTTCTGACGGTGACACCAGACGGCTGGTCTGAGCACCCCTGCTTCTCCAACGACAGAATCTGAAAGAGCAAAGTAAAGCATTAAATAATGCACACAAGTAAACCAGTCAAAGTACAAAGTACCCCTAAATAGTGAAAACAAAAAAGTCCTCAACTGGAATATACTTCTAGTAGTGGTCTTTATAGTTTATGAGATCAAATGCGTTCTCCATTCATCATAATGAGTGATTTTTTATTAGTGACCGGATCATTATGTCAGTTCTATATCCATATATATTTGTAGTGCATTTTATATGATATCTTGAAGGGCAAATAAGTTTACTTTGTATTGACAGGGATGAACATGCATGGTTTGTGTTAGCATGCAAGTCAATATTGGAGACCTACGCATGGATTTTGATGGAACAGATTTGCTTTGTAATCTATTGATTTGGTTTTGCATGGTCATACAAGTGCCTCCAATACACTAATGAGCCTCTGATGGGACAGAACTGCAAAACCAAGCACTAAAAAGATTCTGTGAAGTGAAATCTAATGTGATATTGTCAACTGCACTGTTATACTCCCTTATCATTACAAAGCATTACTCAAATTTGACATCACCTTACTTGCAACACCTGCCTTCCCCTGCTTCAAAGCCCTCACTTATGCAAGCTTGTCCAGAGAGGAGCAGTGTAGATCACTCTTACCCTCAGGGCCATCTTTAGTTTGACGGTGGAGCTAGGCCCAGAGTTTTTAAGAGCAAAGCACTGAGTCAGCGTCATGTCCTCCTCCACCAACAGGCTGCTCAAAGGCACCGTCAAGTTACCCAAAGTGCACTTGTGCTTGTCATCTTTTACCTGTGAATAAATGCACCATATTTCCTCTGTTAAGTCAGGGATATGGAACTTCAGCTCCAAACTCTTAGAAATAATAAATGTTATAACTTAGAATGAGTTATTACCTCCACCTCGAGCTCCTGTCTTCGAGGATTATGAACAAGGAATGAGAAACAGTCTTCCCACATGGGCTCCTTGGTCTTGTACCGAATCTTTATGAGTAGATATGAAAGCCATTCTTAGCCACAGGCTCACATTACAGCACATGTTTTGCTATGAGAATATTTACATTTAAAGGTACAATGTAGGGCAGCACAATACAACACATTTGAATCCAAAACACAATCACCAAGGCTGCAATTATTATCATTTAGATAATAATAAAAGATTGTCCCCTGTAAAGAACAAAACATCATGTCTTTGTAGAAAATCTTGTTGTAACTGTAGTGCAGACCTCTACAAACATATTCTGGAATGCATAGGATTCCTGTTTTAGTTTATTAGTTCATATTTCAGTCTCCTCTCAAATGTAAACACTACTAGAACTCTCCTTTTTAAACATATATTACAAAATAAATGGCTAATTTCAAAATTGTGTCCTAGTCCTATGTTATGAAATACTCTTAAATAAAAATACTTTAAGAACCACTATCAACCAGAGACTCACTGACAACTGGTGGCTATCTATAGTGAATAACATATTATAAACATACACAGACATACACAATAACAGGTATTAAAATGTGTTTGGTAAACCTTTTATCCAAACACCCGACAAAGCATTTATCATCTGTGTTACCTCCTATGACTCACCTTGCTCTCAAGTGTTTTGTGCCCTACTGTGAATTGGACATAGGGGCTGGGTTCACTGTTGCTCTTCTTTGCCGACTGTGGAGGATCAGAAAGAGAGGACATGTTCCATCCATTACAATATAACACATAATGAATGACAGAACACTGTAATCACCATCAACTTTGTGACATGCACATAGTGGGGTAATGGTCTACAGTTCAAAAATGAGTCACATTAGGATCTGATCTGACAAGTGGGGCTGCAGGCACTGGCTACGAGCAAGACGCGCTTTGTTTTCTGCTTTGTCTCTCATTCTAAATTTAGCATGTTGAGGTTTGGCAGCCATATATTACCGTGCCCTCTTTACAGAATAATAAAATGTCCACACGCATGCGGCTCTTCTGATGAAATATTGTGGCTATAACCTTTGTGTTAACCCCTCCAATGTTCTAGGAATAGTGGCTTCTGAAATAATACTTCCTTAATCCAAAACTAGATGAGGAAAAGGGCATGTGTCTTTGTAATGGTTTGACCAGAACTCTCACCAGACCATTTAAGACCTTGAGATATTGGGCTGTGGACCTTATTACACCTATGTTTGTCAGTCACCATACAGGTAATTCTTCTGTATTTCTTTTTAAGTCCATATTTGATAGGACACATGCCAAGCAGCTGTGTTACCACTGAAGATGCATGTGGTTGGTTAGTTTCACTTTGAATTAGCTACAGTGCAGTTACATAATACGAGACTACAAAGGAGTGCCACAGTGTTTAGAATGTGCCCACTGATTTCACAATATTTTACTAATAGGTACAAGAAGTTCTTTCATCTGACAACAGATAAAACTTGTTATGGTACTGGTTATACACCAATGACTATATGGCTACATGGCTACATCCTGCAGCAGGGAATTTTCCATTTTGCATCTCAAGACACTAATTTGTTTATAAATCTGCCTTGAATCCCATATGAAATGACATAGACTATAAAAAGTGGCACACATTTATTCCCCTTTCTCTTCAATAAAATATCTGTAGTTGTAAACACACTGTGCCAACAAAATATAATGTCAAATTAAAAATAAGTATACATGCAAGCAGGGTATAAAACCATGTACCATTACCCCCTTTGTAAAGAATAGCATACACAGAAAAGATAGTACACATTTATCAATAGGCATGCACATTAAGACTCATAAATAATGGTAAGCTAGATGGTGCACAGGGTGTGATGCATGCAGTCCATTTTTCCCACATTACCTTCAAGGCTTTAAAGACTGAGACTTGCTTCAACCCATCATGGGTGAAATCTGACAGGTTGCTCTTTAAGCCAAACAAGGACATTTTGGGGGAGAAAAGCACACCCATAGTTAGTTGGCCTGGCGGATTCCATAGGCTTAAGAAGCCAAAGAGAAATGGGAAAGAAACATTTGTATGGCACAGTAAACAAGAATGGGTTGTAAATGTAAATAATGGCCAGAGAAATGCTGGGGTAGTTGGCTCTGGGGAGCTAGCACACTGCAGAATAATGAGGGTCTTTCCTTCGGGAAATACTGAGGAGCTGTGTGACATTCATAACAAGCGTCACTGCAATCTTTCTATACTGCTACAACTATGCACTAATTGGCTTACAAATAGAGAAGGAGATTATTCTGTTCTCTGAGCAAACTACAGCTCTGAAATGTAAGCTGTGAATTGGATACTTAATTGATTTCTATGTTGGGTAAATGCACACTCCTTTCTCAAGTGTCTGCTTCTTGTTAATGGTTATTTATCACTCAGAATACAACCATTTCCATTACACAATATAGTAAAACCGTGCAACTAATACATGCTCTGAGAAATGGTTTCAAGGACATAGCACACCCCTAATGGTAGCACTATTAGAGTGCAAAGTACTGGTGGACTCACAAATCTTGCTCTGTACTCTGCAGTATTGCTTTCACAAAAAATTAGGCCAGAGGCTCTTCTCTCACTTAAGTTCCCACAGCCTAAGCTGCCAGTGAAGACGCTCTTGGGTGAGAAGGCAGGGGAGAGGAGAAGGTGGAATTAAAATGGCTGAAATGATTCATGAGACTTGCATTGAATGGCATTGTTGGCATATTTGAAACACTAATCCTTTACTCAAGATTTCATAGGTTATATAAACTTAATAGATGGCTTCAAAATAAAATGTGGATATATGTTTTGAGAATAAGCTTCCACAAATAAGAAAGTTGGTGCAGGCAGTTTTGATAGGGAAATTAATGTAAATAACAAAAGCAGCCACAAATAATTAAGCATTGTAGTGAAAAGGAAAACATGGACCATTTTGCATAGTGACCATTAATCCTCTCTTTAACAAAAAGCCTCAGTGGTAGATGTTACACAACTGGTTTTAATGTGGCTTATGTGGTTGGGGGCTTATAGTAATTACAGTACATTCTACTATAAATCATGAAATAAGTCTAAATAGTATAGTACTAATAATAATAAGTAAGTACTTTAGTATCTTACCGGTAAGTTTTTTGCTGAGTCCAAATAGACAACGAGCAGTGCAGATGATAGTCCATCATTAGCCAGGCTTGAATCTGCCCGCACACTTCGCAACACCTGCCAAAAAAACCCAAAAACATTTGAAAACAATTTAATCTTACACGGAAAAGCAATTTGGGGTACTACCTGGTCTAATTTCTCTGGAGTGTTGAGCAGAGAGAGCCATTCCAGTTTCAAATGGAGCTTTCCAGTGGGGGCCTCCTCTAAATCAAACCACTGCAACAACAATGACAGCTTTTAGTAAGAACAAAGCATATCATTCGTAATCATTAAGACATTATCTTACCTCATCAACCTTTTGCTCTTTGTACAACTCAGTCATATCAATCATCAGGCTGGACAGAAACACACAGTTACACACGTTTGTATGGCATAGACATAAAACAAATTATTATGAATGAAGTGGGGTTAGATATTGATTGTATGAAATGGTGCAAGTGCAGTGTAGTGTTACTGCCTCAGGGGAAAATCCATCAGACATGTCCTTGGGCTAAGACAGAGCCCACATTTCTAATTATACAGAAAGACCACACTACACGTGCATTCCATGTTTTTGTTAGACCAGGTTCCCTACTGTGTTATTCCTAACTGCTTTTGAGGACATTTGTCTGTACTCCTCTTGATTCCAGTGAAGCGCGTGATAAGATTAAAGTGGAAGAGGATATGAAAAAACACACCTCCCGAGAAAATCATCCTTGTCTGGGTCCTCGTCAAACAGCTCAATCTCCAGGTGCTGCCCGGAGTGCTCATACACCAGCGCCTGCACACCATATTGATGGCAGTTTAAACAGACAAGTCCAGTCGATAAACACATTACCAATGGAACTGCGTTAGGCAATTGCCCCTGTGAGTAACTAAGAGAGCAGTGCATGTTAAACAAATCTAATTGAGTGTTAGCATTGTTTAACTCACTTCGTAGACCTCATTCCATTTAGGGTCCAGAGTCTCCTTTATGGTCTTACTGTGGAACAACTGGTTGCCCACTTGCAGAATGCCATAAGGGTCAGACTTGCCCTTGATTAGTCCGCCGAAAAATGTATCTTTGATTTCAAGGTCTTGAGCTTCCAAAAAGTGAATCCGGAGAACTCCCTGTAGATGCAAAGCACTGTCTGTTGTTATTGGCTATAAACTATACCTTTACAACTATATTAATTTATAAAGGGAACAATATGCAGTGTGGAATGTGGTTAAATGTTCATTTTCTTTTAAATATGGATCAATCAAGGTGAAGCAACCATTACATAAGATCATTTTCAGTAGATTTTAAGGGCTGTGTCTGAATTGTAATGACATGGCCTTAGTGCATTGGGACCAAGTATTGCACCATTGCCATGGATACAGTTTATACTATTGCCTTGAGCTTCTCTTTAATCTATCTTGCAGTACAGGTTTGTACTTTTAAATGAAATAAAATATACATAACTATCTTTGCAACAGAAAAAAATCCAACAATAACATCCAAAAGACCTTCATGTACGGCCGTAAATAACAAGAGCTGAGCAACAGTCTCTCTGGTGATAAGAGCTTTGATTTGCACTGATACCTTTGGCATCGGAAAGCGTAGCTGGTCCAGCTCCACATCCCCCACCAGTGGGATAGTGATGCGATTGGGTAACACCAGATAATTGTAGATTATATCTTGAATGAGACTTTCAGAGAAGGAACTGAAGTACAAAAGGGAGAAAGGAAAGACAAGCACAAAGAAGCAATGAATTATTTACAAGACATTTGGGGTGCCCTTGGGTTATTAATATTCAACTTTTAATCTCATCCTAGTAAAGTATCACATTTAAAATCATACTACAAACAGGATTCTGTGCAAGCATGTTGCTGTTGCTTAAATCGCAAATCTGAACAGTTAGGGCAAAGCATATTCAGGCTTTTATTTTTTTCATTTTGTTGATGCAACCAATAAATTATAGAAAACTGTGGAATAATATGAAATATGAAATCCAAACTACACTTAAGCCAAACGGTTCACGTGCTTGAAAAATGTGCCAATATCACCTCGCAAAGCCCTATAATCCAGTCGACTTATAGAAGCTTTGGGACAGACTGTATTTGATTGCTTTTATACATCGGGACCTGCACCCTCAAGAACCTCTTTGAAATTGTTCATGATACTGTGATAGTATTCCACAGTGACAGCAACAGCTTGACAATATGACTGAGCTGTGACAAATGTTAGTAATCAGTTTCACTATTACGTTTCCCAAAAGTGAAGCAATTTTCTTCATTAGATTCTGGTGTGATTGCTGCTTCTCTGTATGGTAAGCGTTCATACACTTCATTATGAAACATTTCCAAGAAGGAAAGCACAAGAGATATTAGCTTCCAAAGACACTTTGAATAACATAAAGCCAGGATTGAAGCAGGCACAAACATTCATTTGATCGGTCCTGGGTTTATCTGCCATTACTGCAGGAGGCCGCTGCTCCTGTACAAACTGTTTAAAGAGCCTTTTATTCTCTTGGTGGCAGAGGGCTTTTTTCAAGCAGAGGAACAAGGCTGTTAACAGACTCGCTGCGTCAGCGATTAGTGCAGTGTTGCTGTAGCTCGCTGGTCTATTCATACTGGATCATTATTATATGGTAGACTGAAACACTCCCTTCAGTCATTTAAGGATAATAGCATTGCACTGTCGATAAGGTATCTGGGTGCCTTCTTGATTCTAAACTATTAACACGGAACGTTGCAGAGCCTCTGTCAGCATGTCTGTCATTGTTCCAGGGACATATGACTAGGAGCACTGAGCTGCCTTACACTATACATACATGCATACATGCATACATGCACTGGCTACTTGACATATTCATGTGCTGAGTGAAAGCAACTCTTTAAACTTTAAATGACTCTGCCCACACAACTCTCCACAAGAGGTAACACACGTAATATAAGTCAGACAGGATTAGCAAGAATTAATAAATTGTCACAGGTGCACTTCCTCATGGTCTATTTTCACTAACAAAGATGAAAAGCATGTTGGAAAACTGTTAACATAATAAATCAAGACCATATTAATCAAATTTACATTTTACAAAAAACATCCTAATTCCATCAATCAGAGAGATGTAGTTAAGATACACTTACTTGAGTCCAGGAATGTCCAGGATGTTGGTGAGGCCAGTCCAGCTGATATCTAGGAGCTAAGAGAAGAGCAAATGACTATAGTGACTGCACACTTAGGTTTATCATTTGCCACCCCTCTGATGCAGTGTGCACAGACCATTGTGTCTTTGCCAATAGATACACTTGATTAATAACAACTGGGACAGTGGCCCACACAAGTGATGGGGAATGAAGATAAATCAGAAACGTGTGCAGGTTTGGAAATGCAGAGCTGCTCTTCTTGCTGTGGTATCATCATATAACTTTGTACTGCTGGAAAATTATTTATTTTGGTTAATTCACTAAATTAGGCACAATGACCAAAAATATGTTGGTACTCTTGCTGCAAGGGATTACTTCTACAAAAGCAAACGACAATGTAATAAAGAATAGCTGAACAAGGAGAGTTTCACAAGGAACTGTCACCCTGAAATATTTATCAAAGCAGATGCAACAGCTTTTTCGTCCTATTATTTAAAAGTTCGATTTCAGAATCATTTTCACATATTCACTCTTTATATTGATGCCCTCAAGTTTATTAAAAAATATATATATATTATCCAAAATGTGTTATAGTAAAATTGCCTTGTTGCTTGGGCTGAATCTCCACAGATCTCTCCCAGAAAGCTTTGATCAGCGTCTGCCCACTAGCTCAGGAGCTACTAATGCTGCTTTCTTAATGAGCTTTCCCACCCTACTTGGAGCCCAAGTTGCTTACACTGCAGCAGATGCACAGGGTGCTACAGGGAAGTGGGGAACACTGCAGAGGCATGACTGATGTCCACAGGGAGGCTGTGTATCTGTGACTGAGACTGGTGCAAGGGGCACAACTCTGACTATCAGAGCTACTCATACTTCATTCATGTGGATTAGTGATATACAATAATAGACCTACTTATATATTGTATGTTTAGATGTGTTTGAAATCAGCTGATCATCCTTAAAAAATCCTCTGGCCTATCAACAATTATGTGAGTATGAGAAAACATACATTATTAGCCACCACATAATGTGCAACAAGGTCAAAGTGCCTGAAAATGTGGCAATTTCACTACAGAAATGAGAGAGTGGTAGTTATCTATGAGATATTAATTAGGCGGGATTGGCTCAGTCCCCCAGTGACAATGAATAGGGGTGATGAATGAATAGGTAAAGAAGATCAATACAGTATATAATGGAATTATTTTATACTAAGACACAAAGCATGATGCTGCATCAGTTAAAAGGGAAATGTCAACTGTTTGTTTAAAACAGTCACGTCTGCAAAGCCTTTACGACAACATTTTAATTATATTGCAGAGGATTGCAGTATTGAGATCACACACACAAATGCAGCCAAGGCTCTAAGAGTCTGTACTTCACACTGAGGTAAGGTAATCACAATTTGTGTGGAATTCCTAATCAGAGATAAAGTCAACTCAAGGTTGTCACATTTTCACAATATTGTTCTTATGATTTCTCATTTATTAAGATGAATGTAATGACTGTATGTATGCTGGAGTATTGCATGAATCACTGACTACATGTCCCTTGAGATGTGAGATTTCCCTGTTTGAGCTGAGAGCCTGGTGGAAGTGAAATCTGCCAAAGTAGGTCTAAGTCTTGATCTGTGGCTATTTAAAGCTCTGGTGTATAGGTCCACCGGGTCCTCCTGTTTGGTGTAAATCGGTCAAACACTTTTAAGCAGTTCAGCGGAGTCTTCTGGAACAGCAGTTGAAAGCAAAGATATATGGAATGAGTGTGGGAAATGATTCAGTAAGAAGGCAATGAGCAAATTGAAAGGAAAATGTTGCAAGTTGTTGCTGCAATGAAAATGTTTACAAAGATTATGGGCATTGAAACTAAATATAGAATTTAAATCTGGGCTTCTGCATCTGTATCATAATAATTAAACACATGTCATCTTCTCTAAGTGCTGATCTTGTGTTTTGAGGTGTTCTAGCAAATAGCTACTTGCAAATACAGGAGTCAGTTAGTGATTCTCTGCATCAGGACTCACTGGTTTCTTGATGAAGAACAAAGACAATGCTCCAACAAGTGGGATATCCCCCAGCAGTGGCTCCATCACCACCCTCAGCACACCGTGGACCTATGGAAACACAGGAGGGACATATTACAAGCATGACCGGAAAGCAGCTGACACCATTTCTAAGCTGACATTTCTCCACTAACACTGGCATTGTGCACAACAAGAGTGGAACATGAATGCAGCCCTGACTTTACAGCTGCCCCAGTGTCATCCCCCCATCCCTTCTTCACGTATTACAGCAATTACACGGCTTATGGTGTCAAGACAAGTCATGTGGCTTTCTCAGCACAGCTGTTCGTAAATATGCAAAAGAATGAACTACCCAACATCAAATTAAATTGTTAGTGAAAGCTAGGTTCAAGGAGAAAGTCAATTATCCATTTGCATATAAACTGTCTTTGTAATCAACCATTTTTGGCAAAAGGAGTTTAGTCAAAATTTCAAACCACACTGAAAAATTATACTTCTTTCATTAAAAAAAGACAAGTCAAAATTTAAAAAAATGTGCTAATGGTTAATGTGGATTTCTGTGTGTAAACCGGTTTTAAGTGAAAGAAGTCATGCAAATGTGTCAGTGACAAAAGTGTACATGAGCTCTCCGTCATTTGTTTATACCCAGCTTTAGGCAATAGTAGTGCAAATGCATCAAGTGCAAAACAGCAGTGCCTCATAGGAAGAAACTCATAAAAGACTTCTTATAAATAAATAATTCATGTAGTAGAAAAAAAAAAAAAGATAACTAGAAGCAAAAATCGATATGGGAAATTTTAATGCATATACGACTTCTTGGAATAGTGTGAAGAGGGTATTTATCTTGTAGTCATGTACAACAATAGTCTGTTACTAGATAATAAGTATTTGACCTTACTCCCCATAAAGCTGGGAGTAACCGAAGCTCACTGAAGTCAAACGCACCTGCTATGTGTAATGCAGGAGTGTGAACTGACTGGACCATTGTGTTATTGGCTCATAAACTTCATCACGGTTACAGGCCCAAGTTATATAACAGGGACAGTGTGAAACAAAAGTCTCCAAGGGGCATACCTAACATCACCCGGTCTCCAAGGAGCTGCACTGATTGTTTTCATAAGTTCTCCTACAACACAGTGGAGAGCCAACACAAATAGAACTAACTTGAGAGGCAGGGGGATTAACAAAGAACAGAATATTATGTTTACATGTTTTATGACAGCTCTGCCTGCCACAGTAAACACATAACTAAGTGGTATCTTCATAGGTCATCTTTAAAAAGTTTAACTTCTTACTTGTTTCATCCCCTAGTTTGCAAGAATCTTAAAAAAATACAAGTTTCACAAAATATTTTGACAAATGCTTTGTCAAACGCCTCTCTATCCAAGGCCAAATCTCTTGAATAAGAGAAGACAGAAAAGCCCTTTAGCCAGAGTCCACGTTACTTTATATCTTATTTTCTCACCCCTGTAAAGGTTAAGACAGTTGGAGAGAGAAAAGGCATTTATTTTAAGAAGCGCAAATACAAAGGGAAGTTCCTCACCTGAATGCTTTTAATTCCAGCTTTGCAGTAATACCGTTTGATGTCCACGTCAATTTCTGTGTTTCCGACAAAGCTGAGGGAGAACGCAAATGTAAGAAACCATCCACTTCAAAGGAATTTTCATGGGGTTTTCTATGATGTTTTCTTATTCTGCTTTTACATTTGAAACTATGGATGAAAGCTGTGATTTCTTTTTTACAGTCACACCCACCTGATTTGGAGATCCATAATGATCTGGCGTTTATCCACATTTTCAGAGTAAACCTTGACCCCGTTGACCCGCAGGGGCTACAATGTAACAGAACAAACCATTATGGGTGCTTGAGTACTAGAGTCCACCACCAGCACAGCTATGACACTATGGCCCCACGTGGCTGAGCACAAGGTTGACCCGTCTGTTAATAACTCCACATGGAAACTATTTAGGAAACAAGCATGCCTCCATGGCTGTGTGCTGCTGGCCTGTGTAGGTTCACGCTCTATATTCCACACACCCTCGACTGCAGCTGTCTCACAGGCACCTGCTCTGACTGTCACATGACCAGTGTAAATGCAGCCTGGGAGTGGGGCACTGTGGGAGCCTTACTTTGTCTCCTATATCCACTTTCGTGAAGCAGAAGGTACTGAGGTGAGCATTGGAAGCCTTCACACTGGGCTCAATCGTCTCGTGGAACAACTTCTCCACAAACTGTGAGATGTATGGCCACATCTGTTTGACAGTCTGTGAGGGGTCAGAAAAATAAACTATTACATTGTTTTAAGCAGATAAACATTCACTATTTGTTTTTTGTGCCCTCTGTATCATATGTATTCATCTTCCTTTGTGAATCATATGGTTATTGCAAATATTTTTAATCTAGTTCTGAGAAAAAACAATGGTGTCAGGACAGCTTCCATGAAGTTGTAAATAAAACTTTGATAATGATAACTAGATCACGTCTGTTGAAATCGAAAAAACAATTTCAAATTTTCATCTGGGTGGTTGCTAGGGAGATTAAGTTAACGCATTCTCAGTGCAGCTGCAGAAACGTTATAGCATCTTGGGTTCAGTGGCAGCTCAATATCACCAGCCCAGGGGAATCGACTAAGGCCAGAGGAGGACTGACAAACATTACATTTACTGCAGTTTTGCACAAGGGGAAACCCAAGATGACTGTATTACCTTGTTTATCCATTCCACTCGTTCTACATCTGGGAAGTGGACCTAGAAAGCATAAAAGCAACATGAACATGACTAGCAAGGGAATGCATGAGAGCAATATTGCTACTTCATAAAAAGTAACAAAAATTTTGCTTGAATAGTCTAACATTACAAGGTTATGTAGCCTCAGTTTCTTTTGAAATAATGTATTGCACTGTTTATTCTACTGCAGATGGTGTTCAATTTGTCATTACATTCTAATTAAACAGACAGGCAAATGGACAAAGGGCATTCAATGGTTAATTTGTTAGAATCTGACTAAAGGATAGTATTGATTTTAGTATTCCCATCTTATCATGTCTTATAGAAGAGCCAGAGCAGGGTCAAAGCTCTAATTTACTTTGATCTCATGTTATTTCATAAAAAGCAGGTATCCAGGTATAAATCTAAACTCGTGTTCAACATTTCTTCTGTTGAATGAAGTAAATGAGAAACTGATTTCACAAATTATTCTTGAATTGAAATGTTCTGAAATGAAATGTTGTGAAGAGCTGGTGTGGGTACTGGCGATGTATAAAATTGGTGTTAACAGCTAGAGACAGCTCTAGTCCTCATGGAGGATGCAGGAGTGTTTATTCTGCATGTGTGTGTCAAAGAGAACTGAGAGTACAATTTCATAAGACAGCTTTCAGCCTCTATCTCGGCTATACCCAAGACAAAGAATAATAATCCAAAAGACATGAAGCTGTTTAAAATAATACAGATGACCTGTTTAGCTTTGTGTTTATAACTGAAATATGCATAGTCTCGACTGGAGACTCCTTTGAATCAAAGTGCCTTTTTCAGTACTTGATTAAAACACAAAGTAGAAGCACTGTGGAGTATCTAATTAGATCTGTGTCTACAAGCTTACACACACAATTCCTCTCTGAAATTTAGTCAGGCTTGAACAAACAAGAAGGATTAAAAGTAGTGCAAATAATGTCAGTCAACCTTTTGTCTTTTAATTGCTCTATACTGTAGGGATTTTAGTTATTACCTTTAATGCCATATGTAGTCATGGGGGACATACAGTTAATTAATCAAGCCATCAAATAAAACAGAACACTAATTTAACAAATTGGATAGAGGGTAGTGAGAAATGCAGTCTCATTTAAAGATAATGTCTGCCTGCTGGGTGGAAGCTGTCACAGGTCAGGATTTAGAGGTCTAAGTGGTAGAAATCCACACTGATGATAGCAGAGCACTATTGATGCTCAGTTTATCAGTCCAGCAGTGAGTTGATAAATGACTGTACAGACCAGTGAGATGTAATGCCATGCAGTGATTGCCCTGACCATTCAGGAGTAGAAAACACACTGTATATGCACCAGCCATAGCCTCTACACCTCATTTTAACAAGCACAATGCATCATCTGCCATGTGTCAGCAGAATGTTCCCGGCACATGAGGTGGTACTAAACATCATAAACAGTGGAGAGATATTTCATGAAGAGGATGCTCTCATCTGCAGAACACTTCAGTCATGGCTTTGCTACAACTTAATTACATCATATAGGTGGAGGTGCATATGGTCACATCTATAACAATTTTTTTAAAAGCATAATAAGCTTGAAATATAGTTTTACATTCACAATTTTCACAGTCACAGTTCTATAGACTTTTCCATTGCATTCATATAGGAATGTATCTAGCCAATCTTATCAAGATAAAGACTGATAATGTGTTGTGGTCATGTATAGGAAGTTACTAGAGATACCACTCTGTAGCCAAAAATAACATAAGCTCTGAGAGCATGTTTCCTCTGTAGCATGGTGTCTGGTATACCATTGTACCACGCTGTATTTAGACTTGGGGCTCAGTCTAAATTCACTGTTGGGGGGCACAGCTGCTCTATCACAGCTTTACAGCTCAACTTAGCTCCTCCTGTTCTTGTCATTTGTTTTTTTTCCTGGAAACTCCAAAATATGTTTCACCTACACAGCAGGTGCATTTCAGAGGAAGAACAAAATAAAACTTACCCATGATGGTAGATCAGACGTTGTAAGACTCTTCACACCCCTTTCCTCCTGCTCAAAGAAAGAAAGTGCCCGGTGCAATCTGTTGTATTTCCTCCCTATGATTCTTCTCCACCAGAAAAAGATAACAAGTCCTATCAACAGCCAGCTGAAGCTAAACTCTAAGTAACCCAATGCGTAAATGGGAAATATCAAAACAAATGTCTTCACGAAATGGGCCCAGGTATGTGTGAGGTCGCTGGCAGAAGACATGTGGCTATGTCCTGGTATGTCCTCCGTTGAAGGCTGAGGAAAGTTCGGACTAGGTGGGACGGGGTTCGGCGAGGTGTGTCCATTCTCCTTTTGAGCTGTTGGGCTGGCATTGTGTGAATGGGCTCCTCGCACCGCAGTCATGCTGTCTCTTGACATCTCTCTTCAGTGAGACAAATGTGGGTAAGCTAGGATGACAAGAATCCCATGTGCCAGTGGTCCAACGCTGTGCCTTTGGATCTCACGTTGGCTCACCTGTACTACGCCAGCCCATGACCGTCGTACAAAGCGCAGGCATTGACCACTCTAGTGTCCGCTACTTGTGTCAATCCCCAGGTCCTCCTCTTCACGTGAATTCATTGTTTTGGGTGTATCGGTCTGCTGATCACTCCACTCCACGGTACTGTCTGCCCTGCCTCTGCCCACAAGGGGTAAGAATGCTGATTTTCCAAAAGCGCACCCGGGATCCTGTTTGGTGCGCTCCCTGTGGTGTAAAATAAATCGTTAAAATACCGCCACCTGGTGTGTGGCAAATGTAAACGCAATCGTTTACATTTGCCACACAAACAACATTTGCCACGTTTACATTTGCCACACATTACAAAACAGCTTTAGAAACACGTGTTTATACAGTCAGTGTTTTAAACCAGATAATTCGATAGACAAATAGGTGACAGCAAGAATTTTATGAAATTATCTAGCAATAATCGATTTGACATATATACGGAGGCAGAATCAGCTATTTCGTTTAGTGCCTGAATACCGAAGAAAAGTAAACATTCACTGTATATGTTTGATAGTGTATATTTATGGATTAATTTATTAAATTTAGAGATAGCCTCACATAGGATCTCTCTGCATAGATTTTCTCCGATAATCTATTATTTTAGCCTGGTTGCTATAACAACGAGCTCTTGAGCCTGTGAGCGCTCAGGTTCGATTAACTGTACTGTTGTCAAGGCCAAACAGACGCGTTCACCTTGGTTTCACCGCATTGCGCATGCGTATTGTGGATTCACTGTCATGGCGGCGTCATTACAAAAATATGAGCTTGGTTTTAGCATTTAACGAACTATTTAAGAACGAGCGAAGCTTCTAATATGCACACTGAAAAGGTAGCTATTATTTTGCTTTATTTATCTGTCAAAAGTGAACGAAAAGAAAAGTATTATAGTTACATGAGTTTTCGTTGTCGATCGTTGTTATCTTACATTAGGCTACTGAATGCCTGAATCCGACTTATTGGTTGTTTACCTTTTCTAGAAAAGATCCAAGGAGGACACATGGAAAGCAGCAGATCTGAAAAGATACATTGCAGTAAGTTTTGGGGATTTGAACAAAATAAAAATAGAAACAAGTCATTTAATTTTGGATGTCATCTTTATTTGTTTGGTTGTAGGAAGGGGCACACGGAGATGGGAGACGAGGAGATGACGGACGAAGTCGTGGGGAGTCTTTACAGAAACACTATAAGGAGTCCAGAAGGGAAGGAGATAAAGATAGAGATTTCTATACTGGAGGCAGAGAAGATGGAGATGAGGTGTACAGACATGTTGAAAGAAGAAAAGAGGGTTCACGAGACAGACGGAGTGATAGAGAAAGGGACATAAGAGAGGAGAGGGATAAAGACAAGGAGAGGAGGAGAGAACGAGACCATGACCATATCATAAAACCTGATAGGAGAAGAAGGGATCAAGAGGAAACACAGAACAGGGAAAGGGATAGTCACCGCCAAAGAGAAAAGGATAAGGTAAAAGACAAGTACACAGATGAAGAGAGGGCAAGAAGGAGGCAGGAACTTGAGAAAGAAGTAAGGAAAGAAGAAGGAGACCAGGAATACAAGCATTACAGAGACCCCCGGAGTCATGTGAAAATTGACAAAGGTGGGTCTGAATACAATGATAAATACAACAGGGAGCGAAGAGAACGACATAGAGAAAGAGATAGACAGGGAGAAGAATATGCAACCAGCAGGAGTGAAAAAGGGAGAAGAGAAAGGCATACAGAGAGAAAGCAGTCTGAACACCATGAAGGAAAAGGTATGTTTGTTATTAATTCAATTGTGGTAGTCAAGGCAACAATTGTAATTGATTTATTTTCATTTAGACTATCAAGATTATCGCAGAAAAGACAAAGATGGCAGAGAGAGAAGACACAAAGAACGAAGACATCATGTAATTTTGTACCATTGTTGTTTTGTGAATATTTCAATTGGTTATAATATAAAGCTGTTTTCTCTGTTAAGGATGAGAGGCAGAAGCATCACAGTGAATACAGAGAGCATCGAGATCGGAAGAGGACAGAGGAAGAGGTCAGGCATCACCGCAGTGACAGAGAGGAAGAACCTAGAGGGGACAAACACCGAGAGAAAAAACATAAAGAGGAGAAAGACCTTAAAGAAAGGACACAGGAGACAGACAAAGAATTACAGCAAACCAGGTTAAGTCACTCACAGGAAGCTGAAGAAACAAAGGTAGGTCTGGAAGCTCTTATCTACAGCTTTATATTTTATATATCTTTACAGATAAGAATACCAATAATATTTGATCATCATTTCTTTTTATCAAATGTTAGCCAAATAACATTTGATGAAAAGAGATGTTGTGATGCCACCCAGTGTTCAAAATAATTATTGCATTTACTGAGTTTACATTTCATCTTGAAGTATCACAAACAAAAACAGCAATGAAAGGGTTTTCCTTATATATATATTTTTTACTGCTGTTACAGATTGTCAATGAAAATGAGCCAGAACAGGAATATGAAGATGACTTTGAGGTAACTACAACACTATAATCTGTATTAATATTATATTTGATTGCACATAACCTACTGTTATGCACTTACAATGCATGCTCATACTTTGCATTTTCAAGAAAGTGGTGAGTAATCCATTATGTTATTTTATTTTGAAGGCTGACTTTTAAAAATAATTGTTTGCGGTGTTACATTGCTCTTTTTTTGCCTCTAATATTTTCAACTATTCTTAGGAATATGAGGATGATTTTGAAGAACTAGATGAAAGTGAAAATGAAGATGCAAAGAAACAAGAATTAGTGGAAGATAAAGAAGAACTTTCACCAGAGAAAAGAGAAGAGATAAAGGCCATTCAGAGAGCCATGGATGAAGAAAACAAAAAGGTTGGAGCTCTTTCCAGACAGAATACCACAGAGATCGAGGAAGAAAGACCTAAATGGTCCAGAGGTAAATTATACATTCATCTACTTTTGGTTTTATATGTTCTGTACAGTAATGTAATAATTTTCTGTCTGTATTGGGATACATACTATCTTATTGATTGATGATTGATTGATGTATTTTGCAGAATCAGAGAGGACTGAAAGTCAGACTCCTCAATGTGGAAAATTTATGGACTTCGTAGCAGCCAAACAACGAGAAGTAAACAAAAAAGTTGCCACAAAACAAAAGTAGGTACAAATGTCAACTTCATAGCACCTCTGGGTATTTGTGCATTGTTTACTTAATATTATACTTTTCACCTCATAGGAAACGTGGCACAGAGTTACTCCGACTGATTGATTTGGATTTCACTTTGACATCGTCCCTCTTGGATTTACCTCCAGTGAATGAATATGACATGTACATAAGAAATTTTGGAACAGCAAATACTAAGCAGGTAAATTAATTAATTTAAATTGACACAATAATAAACACCAAAACAAAATATAACTAAAACAATAAAATACTTTTAGGCTTATGTTCAATGTAATGAAGATAATGCAGACCGAGATATCCAGACAGAAGAGATAGAGCTGTGTGAGAAATGGACCCAGCATCCGCAAGAGCATAGTGGAGCTTGTGGTGGTGAGAATTTATTTTAAAAATCAGATACACTAAACTAATTTTGATTAGGTTGATTATGTATTATCACTATTTTTAGATCCAAACAATTCCTCTAAAGCGAGAGATGGAGCCCTCAACGAACTGAATATTGATTCCAAACGACTGACAACATTTTTACAATCAGCTTCACAGGTTGTTCTTATCGTCATGTTTTATTATTGTTATATCCCAATTACCCAGCTAACAAGTTTTTTTTTTTTTTTTACATTAAGGTCATGATTGTGTTATTAGAAGAAGACCAAGCTGAGAGAAATTCACTCAGAAAGTTGAACACTCAAACCGATGTTCTATCTTTCAGTGATGGAAGTTTACAGCTCAATACAAAGTTGCCTTTTCTTCTTGGTACCAGAACATGTACAATCTTTTTATTCTACCACCTAAAGCACGACAAGGAAATTCAGGATGTTTTATCTTTACCCTTAGGTCGCCACATAAGCCTGATTCATTTTTCTGAAGTCCAAAAACACACCATGATATCTGTTCATACTACAACAACTAAACCAAGTGCAGTGCATTTAGATAACCATACTCTCATCTGCATATGGAATATATGGGAACCATCAAGACCACAAAAGATTCTTTTGTATGAATCTGAGGTATTTCTCTCATGCAGTCTGCTTATACTGTATTGCATCTGGGTTATGCTGTGAATTGAAATGTGACCTTTGCATTTTATTCAGGTGCAGTGTTGTTGCTTTAGTCCTGGGAAGGCCACTCTAGTATTTGCAGGTACTACAGTGGGCTCCGTAGTGCTGTGGGACCTGAGGGAACACACAAGCAACCATCACCAAATGACCATTGGAGGTGATGAGTGGACCTTCAGGCAGCCTTCCTTTTCCACTGGTTTGTCTCAATTTTCATACAAAGAATTCAGATTTGTGTGACTTGCTGAAGACATGTAAGCAATTAAATTCAGTAATTGCAAATCAGAGCTGATTGCATATTTTCTACAGTCTTTCTCATTTATTTGCTCCTGTATTTGATGTCAGAATCTCAACTGAGAGAAATGTATCTTTTAAGAGTTATTCGCGCATGAGTATTGTCAATTTCCAGTTCAGAGGCCATGCCATTATGTAACTGCCATGCTGATTCCGTGTGTGCTGGTATCTGTGTTGTCATCACAGACGCAGTCATGTCAGCCTCAGGACATTTCTCAACTGTTATGTCTGTTGAAGTGGTGCCTTCTGTTGTAATAAGAGGGCAAAGGTCAGAGGTTTCCCTCTGGACGTCTGAGGAAGGTATGGGGAAAATCATGTGCTACACAATGCATACAGCTCTCATTACTGAGAACTATTTTATTTCAGAAGCGACTGGATTGTCATTTCAACTGGCATCTCTTGATGAAAGTGGGATTTTAAATTTCTGGGTGAGTTGTGAAATGTATGTTAATAAACATGTTTCCTAAAAGGTTATTTACAATTTATAACTATTTATTAACATTCCTTTTTATTAGGTGGTGGTGGAACTTCCAAAAGCTAATGAGGCAGGCTCCCAAACAGATTTAGGTAGCCAGATCTTTTCTACATAGATTACTAGTTTTACAAACATGTATGAGCCAAGGTTTCTGATTTCTTACCATGCAGGGCTGAGACCTGGTGGTAAAGTTAAGCTCCTTCACAGCTCCTCTCTCTCAGTTGTTGACAGGTAAGAAAGACCAGCAGTTTTTCATGACCATTCATCAGTGCCATCTACACTGCCCAAAATACTACTCAGTATTATAGCTCAGTGGAACACAGCTGCTGTGATGTATCTATCTTGTTTGTGATGCACTCTAGGAAAATCTGTGCTATTTTTTGCACAGTGTGAATGTGAAACTGTGTCATAGTCCATACTCATTTTGTTTTGGGGAATGTTGCAGCTTCTGACCTATGAACTGCTTTGTATTTTCCATATTCTGCCTTTGTCTCCTTTCAGAATGTCCCACAAAGCAAACAAGTCAACACCTCTGCAGACACTTCAGCTAAAGTTTCTTCCAACAGACTCAAATCATTTCTTCATTGGTACTAATATGGTAAGTTGTTGGACATGTGGTACACCATAGAGGACAACCACCTGATTTAAAGTTTTCCATTTTATTATCTTATAGGGTATTGTCCATCATGGCACAAGTCATGGTTTAAAAGCTTTGCCTAAGTCCTACAGATGTCAGGAAGGCGATGAGAAACCCACTGATATCAGCTCGGTTAGCTTTTCACCCTTCAGACAAGATTTATTTTTGGTAATTAGTCTAATGAACATTTTATAGTGTACTGTCAATTTGTTATTTTAAGTAATGTACTCTGTTCCTCCTAGGTGGGCTGTGGGGATGGCTGCATCAGGTTGCATACTGTTAGCCAAGAAAAGCCTTTGATTGAGTGGAGAGATGGCTGTGCAGGGCAGCCAGTGGTCTCTGTGCAGTGGTCTCAAACCAGGCCTGCTGTTTTCAGTGTACTAGATTCAGCTTCAAACATCTACCTCTGGGATCTGCTGAAAAATGAGACAGAACCTGTGATGATTGAAGGCACGGGAAAGGACAGGTGACATACATTTATGAATCAGTTCTTTTTTCTTTTTGTACTCTTTTAACTCACTCTTTACTCTCTTTTAATACTGTAACTGTCTTTGTTTACAGAGTGACAGCCATGGCTTTGTTTGGAGACTCAGGACAACAAAACACATACTCAGGAGTGGCACTTGCACATGAATCAGGGAAAATAGAAATTCAGTATTTCACAAACAATTTTACAGTGTCTAGTCTTCCAGAAGTAGAAAAGTTAAACAGTTTGGTAGAAGTTATCTAAAATATGTGTATACAATAATATACACTGTAATTTATATTTTGTACCTGTCCTCTAGTTATTTCTTTTGGCTTTGTCCTTGTGCCTTTTTATACACATTTCCTATTATAAGGTTGGTGAGAAATATTGTAAATATTGTAATATAACAGAAATGGTCACATTTCATGGTAAACTGATGGGTGTAACCTACATGTGTAAAGGTATTGTAAATTGTAAATATGAGAAAATGAATATAAATAGCCTAATAGATGTCTATTTTGTATGGGGGAAAAATAAAATAAAATAAAATACTGACACATGTTTACCGTCGTTTTGAGTTGCTGTTACTTAGTTACGGTTGCCCAGTGTTACAGAAAGGTCTCTGCTCTGATTTGTGTACCTTGCAAACTGAACTTGTTTGCGCAGGACATTTTCGACATTAATGGATAGGTGTGACTTCCAGGTAAGTAACTGTAGGTCCCTTTGCGTGTTCTTTCAGTTTGCAATATTAATGCGTTCGTTAAAGCAACATTTCTCAGCAGAAATGCAAAAAAGGATTCAAATGAAGCTCTTGTAAAGTAAAAAAAAAATGGTGGCCACAGGTGAGCAAAGTAGAACCACAACACTGGTGCTCCCAAATGTCAGTCATGCACTGTTCAAAAGCGACAGATCTGCGAGCTTCGCCAACAAAACCGCACATGAGAAAAGGAGGATACAGCACGTGGGTACACCGTTACTATGCCTGTATGCATATATTACTTATATTGTGGCTATGTAATAATATCTATAAAATGCCTGCATGTTTTGGCTCTACTAGGATGTAAGTTTTCATGGGACTTCTAAGAAGTCAGATCTAACATGTCTCTTAGAAGGAACAGTAAAATGCACCAAGCCAAAGCCTCATAGAACAAAGGAAATCAAGAAAGAGGCCTTTGCTAGATATATGAAAATAATATACAGAGTTCCTCATGATATTAAGGTATTAAGGTCTAATATCTATTCTATTCAATACATTTTAGGTGGCTATCTCAAAAAATGTTTTCCACAGGTGGACTTTGATGAAGACTCGGATGAGACTTCATTTGAGCCAAAGTTTAATGTGATCACACCGTATATTCCTCCTGTAGTTGAAGATACTCCTCTGTCACCTACAATTAGTCCAGTTGTTAAAGCAAAGAAAAAGAAACAACGGGTAAAATTCTTTATTTATTTTTTATTCACTTTAATACATTTTTTTAAAATATTTGTTGTCGGGCCACAGAGGAAAAAGGCAATTTCTGTGGAAGAAAAATCGGAAGAAGAGGCAGAGCCTGTTGCACCATCAACACCAGTTATCCATGAAAAACCTGTAGCAGTGAAAGAGGTCCCTACACATAACATATATACGCTATGTCCTCCTTGGCCAAGTATGACACATTTGTACTTCTTTTATAGGAAATTGTTTGTCCAAAAATCTCATTGCCACCTCTACCTATTTCCCCTCCTCCACCCAAGCCTGCCCATGAAGAAAAACCTTTCGCTCTACCTCCAATGGTCCCGTCTCCAGAGCTCCCGTCATTTCTCAGAGAATTTCTGACTAAAGAGTGGTTTAAGCAGCTCTATCCCGATAAGAAGGTGCATCATGTGAGGTGTCTTCACTATTTAATACAGTGCAGTCAAGTTAATTTTTATGTTTCTTTGTGCAGAACATTCCTAGCAACCTAAGCACCGATTCATTTAGCCTACAACTGGTTGAGTTCCTGTGCACATGCAACGCGCCATTTAAGCCTGAGATCCTGTCAGTATTGGAAACGCTGCACAGATGGAAGCTCTTGCAAAATGAAGATCGGCTTTACCAAAAACTCCTTGAGACTGTACCAAAAATGGTTACACCTAGCATGGTATGGTAGCACTCACTAATGCATAGAGAATAAGTGTCTTGCCAAAGACCACAGCAACAGTCTTAACTTGCCATGCCAGGATACAACCCAGTGCACTTCAGCACATAGAGAACACACATGCACATGAAAACTAACTTCAAGGATTTGCTTTAAAGGTGCACAATGTAACTTTTCCCAAAAAGTTCTTACTGGGAGCAGGGTTGCCACTGTACAGATTTGATCTGGTGGCGTTATCTGCTTGTCTTCATAGAGATAGGTTTAATGCCCACACAATAACACCTTTGTGTAGATAAGCAGGTGGCTGACCGTCTACCAGTAAAGTTAATGTTGTTTACTGCTTTATAGATAAACTGATTCACTAAGTTTATGTAGGTGGTCATATTGCATATTGCCAGTGGTCATATTACTATGGCTTTTTGATCAGAAACACGCATTTTCTTGTCTTTCTTATAATTCAATGTTGTCCCTCAGGGTGCCGGTGAACAGGTTGTGCTTGGTCAGCTGTTAAATCTCTTGACTTATCTGAAATCTGTAAACAATGAGTTAGTGAAAACACTTCTAACACTCATAGCTTACAAAGAGCTGGGCATAAGGTTAGTATTAGTACTTTTCAACATGCACATGATATAGCAGATATTTCATCATTCTTGTGTTTCTTTATTATCTGTAGAAAGAAAATGCTGCGTATGTTGAAATCTTTAGGTGTGGATGAAGCAGAGGAGTGGCTGTGGCCAGAGTTGGAGATGTGGGAGTCAGAGCTTCTTAGCAAGTCCAACATGTGGAAAAGTCTTTATAACTTTGCAGACTGCTGGCTAAATTTGTGGATGACCAAATATAAAGTAGGCACCAATTGAATTTCTAATTTTTAACAGTTACTATCAAATAACCATATATACAGTATGAGTGTAGTCCTAGGGTACTGGGCATGATATAAGATCAGTGAGGGTGACTGAAAGCTGAGACATAGCTCTTATAAATGAGCTATCTACTATGGCTAATGTCCTTTGCAGTGACCTGAACAGGAATACATTTATGAGTCTTGTTGAGTGGTCTATATATGGCTGATTCCTCTTGGTGTTCTCCATTGCTCTAGGATCATATCAGGGATCTGTTCCTCAGGAGTAGAGGAAAAGGGGTGCCACCATCATTTACAGCTGTGGATATTGTCAATTACTTCTGCTCTGTACAAAAAGAGGAATATCTTAAAGCCAAACAAGCTGTACCAACCACCAATAACACAGTGGTTCTGCCACATGCCTGGTATTACTCACATTACAGTTATGCTGTATGTTGCATATGTATGTTATGCATGTTTTATTTATTTTCAATTTGGATGTTTTGTTTTTAGTGTATCTGGTGCAATCCATCGTCTTGGGGAAACTTATAGTATGGAAAGAACACGGAAACCATCAAGTAAACACTTAACCTTCTCTGGAAAATCTGTTGTTTTATAATAATAGTGTAATATCTTTATTTATTTTCATTTTATTTGATAGATCTAATTCTGCCTCCTCTTCAAGACCGCCCATTCCTGTTGGATTTCCCAAACTACATCTCTTTGCCATTACCTCATATTAAGCTTTCTCCCTTCTACACAAACTCAGAAGAGGATCATCTGAAATTTTTAAATCATCGATACTACATTCTGGAGAAGTCACATGTGGGGTACTACAGATGATACAATATTCATAATATATTTGCAATGGTCTCTGCTTTAACGTGATTTATTATCATGCAACATATTTGACCATGGTGATTTGATACACTGTTGTAATGCAAGTAACACATTCTGCTCATCACAAAAGTTTAGTAAAATAAACAATATTTCATTAATTTTAAGACAAATGCAGTAAGAAAAGAAGGTAGTCCAATTATATGCAAGAATCATGAACAGTGCACAAATCAACATTTCATTATGGCATTAGCATTTGTTACATGTTTCTCTTTCTGTCAATAAAAGCAACCAAGATATAAATATACACACATTTGAATTCTGTGCACCACAGATTTTAGCAATGACAGCCTGAAACATTATCTTTGGACAAAATGTATTGCCTCATTCATCTTTTAAGTTGTTATGATAATTGAGAAGGTCACACGTGAGAAGGAGATCAGAACGCCCATTTTCCAATAGAACTCTGTTGAGCTGTGTGCTGGTAGTATTGAACTCTGTTGTCTCATCCAGCGGCCAGTCTAAAAGCTGAGCGCTGGAAGGAAGGTCTGGAAGGCCCGGCTGGTAATCTTCCAGTGGGTTTGGGTACAATAACTGATGAAGACTGCGCATCCTTACTGCAGTTTTTACCAAGTCCATAAGTCCAGACATAGAGAGTGGGTTCAGGGCAAAGGCCATGCTTTTCAGAGTGATGCAACATCCCAGAGAAGGCAGCAGGAGACCCAGGAGGTGGTCATTTAGCCCACAGCCACTTAAAGACAAGTGCTGCAGACTGCTGGAGGCCTGGGAGAGAAGACGTCGCACAGAGGGTAGTGTGGTTTCATCTAGTCGATTTTCACTCAAGTCCAGCTGTTGTAGAGTTGATGCATGGTGGCTGCAGGAGAGATACGCCAGATCTGCTGGGCTTAGGCTCAAATATGGAAGTTCAAGAGTCTCTAAAGGTTGAGGCAAGGAACTGAAAAAAATTGCATTATTTTGTTACTTTGTATTTCATGGAAAGCACATGCACAATCATGCTCATGGTTATTCAATATCATTACCAACACATACCTAAGCAGCACCCGAAGCTGACCAGGCAGCCGTAGTGCAGTGAGGCTAAGACATTTGAGGTGATAGAGCTGTGTCAAGCCCTGTGAAAGGTCTCTTAGTGCCTCTTCTTGTCCATGAAGATCTCTTCTAAGATCTAAATTACAGTAGTGCAAGCGAAGAGATTCAAGAGCAGAAAAGGTGGAAAGGAGGGGCAGGAGCTCTGCTAAGCCGGCCACTCCAAGACTGCTGTATCTCACATCTATCCCAAGAAGAAACTGATGGGGCAGAAGATCAAGTAGGGTCTTGATGTTTGATACAGAAATTTCTTCAATGCGGAGATATCTACACTGAAGTTTAAGTGGCCCTTGAGTGCTTAACGCTGCACGAACACGTTCCCAGGATCGGGCATTGACAAAAAGATCAGCTCTCACGTGTACTAGAACATCTAAATCTTTATCATCATTATAATCTATTTTAATGCCTGCTTCGTTTGCAGATGGACCCTCACCCTTTCTCTCCATCTCCATCCTCCTTCTCACGCCCTTTGTCAGCTCTTCCTCAGACTTTACTGCTGATGATACTATGTTGTCGTTTTCTACTACATCTGCCCTCTCTCTCTTAACATCTGACTCTCTCTGCAGAGCCGAGAACCTCTTTCTTTCACGTTCTCCTTCTTTCCTCTGGACCCTTTTAGCTCCATTTCGAGCTTGAACAACCATAGTGCACAGTGCCACAGTCAGGGACCAGCCACCCATTGGGTCACCCAGACTTCCCTCATCTCCTTGCTGACCACAAAGATCCAGCAGCTGTAAGACACTCCTAGGACAGAAATGATATCAACATTTTCAATACGAGGCATTTAAAAACACCTATTAACTCGTTAGAAGTATTGGTTTACCTTTGATCTGAGAGTCCCCTTACAACAGCCAGTAAAAGCGCTTGTATGCACAGTCTGTTTGGGGAAGTCGCTCCTCGTTTTCTCCGTCCGACACGCAAGGTTCTTTCGGGCCACCGCTGAACGAGTTCACCCGCAGCCAGCGGTCTGTTACTGCTAAAGGCGGCCTCCAACAGCGGTCGGTACAATTCTCTGGGTATCCATTTAAGCCAGCAGGGCGACGAGCTGTGGTCACTTACCACCTCAGTGGCACACAGGCTTACCAAAGAAAGCACCATAGTAGCTCAAAGTAGGACTGGCGTCAACGAGTTTGCAAGACTGAATGCATGTGCGAGCTAGCTACAAGCCGAAAGAAAAAGCTAAAAGTAAAAAGTAACCGTGGTAGCAATATCATACAAAGTAGCATATGAAGTTCTAATAAGATCACCTTGTGGTATTAATACTAAAACGTCTCAGTTGCCGATGTAAACTCCAATGAAATATGAACATGTAAAGTAAACGCCAGAGCTGAATGTTGAAGAACCAACTGGTCCCTAAGCAGAAGCAAAGAGTGTTTACAAATCGATGCTGACGCATCCGGTGACGTATGACGTAGCTACGTAAAGTCACCCCAGAAGTTGGTGAAACCAAAGTTACACCAAATTAAACGGAAAAAGTAATATTTTAAATAGATAATATTTATCATTTGAACACCCACTCACACCAAGTAGATTTCTATGTAGATTTCAAAGCGATCGATAGCTCAAGTAAAGTATAGGCTCATTGCTTTCCTTTGTCTATGATTATGACCTTATAGATTCCAGCGTGGTGAGTTTATTTAGTTTTACCCTGGAACTTCTCATTTTATCTTGTCACATCTCTCTCTCTCTCTGTCTCTCTCTCTCTCTCTCTCTCTCTCTCTCTCTCTCTCTCTCTCTCTCTCTCTCTCTCTCTCTCTCTCTCTCTCTCTCTCTCTCTCTCTCTCTCTCTCTCTCTCTCTCTCTCTCTCTCTCTCTCTCTCTCTCTCTCTCTCTCTCTCTCTCTTTGCACCTAAACTTCACGCAGAAAAAGAAAGTAACCGTTAGATGTCGCTTTTGGATCATGTTGCGGTCTTATTACGGACGTACTATGAACGTCAGCTGTGCTGGCCTGGTCGCAGTTTATATTATGTGCCGTATTAAAAGAAGCAAAGACTGCAACGTTTCTGTTCTGTTATAAATATGTCACTAAATAATTAAACAATGAAACTAAATTGTTTAAATATATAATTAATTCATTATTTCATTATACTTGGGTGTTACCATTATTTAAGATGATTAATTTGACCCTTTACCCTCACCCCCAGTGCCTCTTTTTAAGGTCTCGTGTGAAAAAATTCTGAGTCTTGATTATGTATGCATGCCTTATAAAATAAAGTGGAGTTTTTATGACAATATCTGATTTTTCAATAATAATAATAATAATAATAATAATAATAATAATAATGTAATGATATTATCATATTCAAAGCTCAGTCCAGATCAGTACTTTTTGAAAATGTTTGTTTATATGCCTTTCAAATATCATTACCATTGACCATATGAACTGAAAAAGTCACTTTAGAGCCATAAAAGCTATTTATTACCATTTACAGCAGGCTAAAAGCTGGAATAAGCACTCAAGAGCTGTTTAGCCCTATCTAGAGCCAACACAGCTCCACCTCTTCTTTTCTTTTATGTTGTTACAACATGGTGGGTTCTTCAGGGGTGAAGTATTAGAACATGTTCTTGTGATAGAGATTTGAGATGAGATCTGACCTGGGCCCAGTGTGGTGGCTGGTAGCCTTATCCTTGATTGTGTGGAGTGGTGCATCTGCTCAAGACTGTTCTGTCCAGGAGTTCACCTGTGCCACTGGAACTTGTGTACTTAGGAACTCTGTGTGCGACTTTACTGATGACTGTGGAGATGGCAGTGATGAGACAGACTGTGAGTAGAAAACGAACATATTTTCATATTTAGGGGCTAGAGTAAATGTGAAATGAAAGCTAATCAGGAAATGTCAGCTTGGACTTTGGAGCAATCATTTCAGGAAGTACAGTGCTTTGTCGTATCCATAACCTAATTGCCTTATGGGTTACTTTTACATTTCTTTATGGAACAGTAACACTTAATTAGTCTGGGTCTGGACATTTGTATGTTCCACTATAGCTTAGACATTAGGTTATATATTTTCCAGTTAAAGACCTTGAAAGAATGTTATTATAAAACACAACTCAGTTCCTACTACAGTGCATTAAATACTTACCGTGTTAAACTGTTAAAGCTGTTAATACAAATTCTGTCTGAAGGTTCCAAATTCACACGTTGTGACTTTGAAAAGGACTTTTGTGACTTCATCCCATCATCAGGAGCAGGTTGGAGCAGAGCAACAGATTTTCCGGAGCTTAAAAATGGCCATACAAAAAGATCAAGTGAGTGACTATAATTATGTTATGATTACAATGTTGATCATTTGTGTCTTATAATCATCCCTAGATTTCTTTTCTGGTCATTATTATTTGATCTTGTAAGACATCAGGTTTGATGAGAAAAATATTATTCAATTGCAAGCCAGGACAACCAGGTGGCTGCTAGTGTCAGTAATAAGTAAATAAATTCCCCAATGTCTATGTTCATAAAAGACTGCAGGACATGTGAAATTGTAATTAATAACTAGACCTATGTTGAATATACATATATGTTTTTATATATTTTAAGCCTTTGTAAAGTCTATGTTTTATTTATCTGTCCTATTCAGCACACTTCCTGACTGTGAGAGGAAAAAGACATACAGCTGATTTACAGAGTCCAGTCTTTCAGCCCAACCAGACATGCCAGGTATAAAGGCCTTTGATTTACAGGTCTTAGCATCCATCAATTCTTTCACAACACTGACGCAATCTCCCTGCATTTCCCTTCGACAGATGAGATTCTATTATTATGTGGAGGCAGAGCTTGGAAATCTCCAGGTCCTGCTCCAGACTCTACCTCTGGGTGAAATTACACTGGTGTGGGCAGACAACACACAGCAGTCCCAGACAGGAATCTGGCTAAGGACTGAGCTGCAGTTTGTCACTAACCACAGTTTTCAGGTAAAGCAGTTTATAATTATTATGTGGAGATAGAATTCAGATGTGTGTTTTTAAGCATTACAACATTGCATACATTGTTGTTAAAGTGAGGCTAAAAAAATCACTACTGCCTTTGAAATCAGTTTGATTAGTGATGACTATTTTAATGCCACATGTTCAAATTGATTATGTAAGTGTTGTTTTTTTTTTTAAACTGAGAAAACATACAAGTTTTAAACAACAGATGTCCTTCAAGGAATCATTTATATGCACCATGAAAATATAGCTATACTCAGTGTCCATCTGGAATCCCTTACAGTTAAGACTCATGGAATGCTCTCTTTATTCTCAGTATTAAGATCCTATTCTCCTCACCTACCATCTGTCATCAATGTTCATTTAACCATCCTCTCGTTGCTTGGGATGCTGCAGATAATTTCTTAAACTTTTAATAATATTTTTGACTCTTGTTGTAGTAAATGCACCATGTATTTCCAACACATGTAGTAAAATATGTAAAATATGCTGTTTACAAATATAATGGATTATCTTGAAGGTGATCATTAGAGGAAATGTTGGATCTGACTCTGAAATCCTCGCCATAGATGACCTCTCCTTCAGTCCTGGCTGTCAGACCATGCTGCGTTACGCCACCATTAAAACCATGTCACCACATAGATGGGGTGAGTTAGACCCCGGCATTTTCAGATGTCACCACTATGGATCGATATCTGTGATCACTATATATAAACAAATTGTGATGTTATTTTATTCTGTGGACCAGTCTAAAGTCACCTGAATATTTTTTATGTCACCGAGGAAAAGTGCTTTAAACATGCATCTTTTAAATGTAACTATATGAAATATTTTTTTAAACTTATGTGTTTTGAAAAAAGCTATGATATTTTACTAGAACAATTAATCAGCAATGATTTATCCTGTACAGGGTATTTTTGGTACTTTCTTCATTTAGCAAATAAAAAAATGCTAGACCAAGCAGAAACTCATAGTCACTACTCCAATAATACTGTGACTTAATATTAACTGCACTAACGTAATTAAATACCATTTCAGAATTATAAACATGAAGGTTAGACATGTTTAAAATAAAAGTTCAATATGCACAATTTTATAGACTTTTAAACCAAGGTCAGACTCTACACTTCACTGTGACTTCATCGTGCCTAGTTTAGCATGTCTAAGTAGAAGAAAGCAGTGATCCATACTAGCCAAAGGTCACTTTTACCTCCATCTGTCTCCTACTCCCATTAGAGCATATCCAAAATCAATATATATCCTTCTTAAAAAGTATATCTTTGTGTATGGCATCAAACCACACACACGCACACACATGCACATTCACACGCACACACGCACACACACACACACAGACACACACATATATATGTATATACTTTACATTGTTGCTTTTCCAGATAACGGAATGTCCTTGGTTGATTGCCTCCCAACACAATTTTCCTGCAATGATGGACAATGTATAGAGAACAGCAAAGTGTGTGACTTTACTCCAGACTGTCTGCATGGAGAAGATGAAGCCCACTGTCGTAAGAACTCTTATGAGACTAAGGGCCAATTACACTGTATTGTGATGTCTTACCATTCCCATATTACTGTTCAGCCTCCAGGTGTGACTTTGAAGATGGGCCATGTGGCTGGTATGAGCTGACTCAAGGAGATGGCTTTGATTGGGTCTGGGGCTCCTCTCCACAGGTTCCACCTGAATACTATGGTCACCCTCCACCACTGGACCATACTACCAATAGCACTACAGGTAATGCATTTCTAAGGTACATGTCATTCAAAATTAAATGCATTGCCATGTGATGCAAGTATCTAAACTTCTTTATTTTTAATAAAAATGATTACTTGTGTCTTGGGTGTTCTGTGAATTTTCAGTATGGTTAATGGAACGACAGATGGCACTGCTCTCAGGGTTTTTGGCCACATTTAAAAAGACTGCTCTTTTAATACTTTTTGTTTTGAAGTTATTGGGCAACCAATAGCACCATCTGCTGTTTTGTCATAGTGTACATTTATTTCAAACTGCAACACACTATCCTTAGTCCTTATTTTATTGTTTGGACTTCTAAATGAAGCAAGTAAGCATTCTAAGATTACTTATCTTTCTTATTGCACCTCTCAGAAAAAAGTATGACACTTGTCTTAACAGAAAAATAATATAAATCTTTCATATTATTTTGAGATGAAAAATTACACTTTTGATTTTAAGTATTTTGACTCATCACAGGACACTTCATGTTTATACTGAAAAACAGTAGCAGTATTCATCCTCGGGCTGCTCTGAGGAGCCCATGGTTTCAACAGTCAGCTTCTGGATGCACTTTGTCCTTTTGGTGAGACACAGAATATGTAACCTCATACAACTCAAACCATACTTTTCATAGTAGGATTATATATCACTTTTTCCATAGGCATTACAACTCAGGCATCTCTGTTGGTGCTGCAGACATGTATCTGCGCTTGAAGGGTGTCGAAAACAACACAATTATCTGGAGATCTTTGTACGACCAGGGCCCTCGGTGGAACCATGTGATTGTGCAGCTTGGGCGCATCACTCAGCCCTTTCAGATCACCTTGGCTAAAGTCAGTCTGGGCGTTTTTGATGGGATCTCGGCCTTGGATGATATCACTTTCAATAACTGCTCCATGCCTCCAGCAGTAGAAGAGTGTCCATCAAACACACATTTCCACTGTGTGCACACGAGGGCTTGTATCGAGAACCTGCAGCTCTGTGACCTTGTGGACGACTGTGGAGATGGCTCAGATGAGGAGGGATGCTGTGAGTAGCTCTTAGTATGATATTCTTGTCTGCTAGTCATTTTTGTGTTTGTTTCCCTTAAACTGATTATGATGAAATGAAAATTTTAAAATGGCAAATCACTATACACCAGTCTGTTTGTATAGACAGAGTAAATGTGTGATCATGGGCTATTACCGCATGGTCACGCCATAAGTACAAAGAATGTAATATTGTAATATTTCATTCAATATATTACAGTTTTACAATGAAGGCCTTTGATTTTTTGAAATTTGTTGGATCTGCACTTTTAACAAAATCTGAAATTTTGACTATATGCTCAAATGTCTCATAGCTCCAGATCTTCAGTGTAATTTTGAACATGGCCTCTGCTCCTGGAGACAAGAGCAGAGTGGAGGAGATGTGTTTGACTGGTCACTCATCCAAGGCTCTACTCCCACCTTCTACACGGGGCCTATGAAAGACCACACGTTGGGCACCAGCTACGGGCACTACCTCTACATTGAGTCGTCCTTACCTCAAGAGTTCAAAGACACTGCTGTTCTTCTGGGCCCAGTGATGCAGCCCACTCCCAAACGAAGGACATCCCCGAGCAAACCCTGGCAGCCCTGTGTGTTCCGCTTCCACTACCACATGTATGGAGTACAAGTGTTCAGCCTGGCTGTCTATCTCAGGACCACCACTACAGGCCGTGGATATCTGCTGTGGGCGCGCTATGGGAACCAGGGAAATATATGGTACCAGAAGACGTTATATCTCAATAGCGCTCGACCTTTTCAGGTGAGACCATCAAGGGTTAATATTATATATGTTATTATATATAACAAGTGAGTGCTTTGTGTCATATTCCAATTAAGTGGTATATTTGAATAAACATTTAATGACCTTTAATTAAAGATCTATCTGTGCTTGCTCTAGCAACATTAAGCTACAATGTTGTCTGCTAAAATATTTTCATGGCACACTAATATCAGTCATATTTATTGAACTTTGGTGCAGTGGAAATTTAGAAACACTGTATTTTGTGTCTAGATTTTGATTGAAGGAACTGTTGGAGATGATTTCCATGGAGATATTGCCATTGATGACCTCTCATTTTTGCACTGTGCTCCATTTGAGGGTATACATTTAATTTATGTTAGCATTATCTATACATATAGCACTGATACCATTAGGTTACATTTTACTCTCACTGTGATTCCTGTTCTCTTTAGGTGAACTTCCTTCAGCAAACACCACCACTCCAGTAGTGACCACAGTGGCCCCCACAGTGCTGCCCCACTCTTGCCCTCAGGGACAGTTTGTGTGCGAGGCACATCAGGAGTGTGTACCTCTGAGTGCAGTGTGTGACTTTAGGAAGGACTGCTCTGACGGTTCAGATGAAACCAACTGTGGTAAACATTTCACGTTTCACTGAGATAGCACATTGCTTTTCTTTTTCAGACATGTCAGTGCATGTCAGACACTGATATTTTCCCTTTTCTAGTGAAAGAACTGTGCAACTTTGAAGGTCAGGACTCTTGTGGGTGGCAGACAGCTGACCTCGACCTGGTGTCACCACATGCATTTCTCTGGTCTCTGGACCAAGGAGAGAGTATCCATGAAGGAGAGCAATATCATCGCCCTGTCAATGATCATACACTGTAAGTCTTTTTACTCTTTTATAAACAAAGAGACTGAATTGTCTTGTTGAACAATTAGCCATGATGTGCAGAAGAATTTTATCTGGGTGAGGTGTAGCCTGATTCATCAGCCGGTTTCACTTCGTGGAAACCGCCTGCATACATTATGCATACACATGCATTAGAATTTATTCGCTCGACGGTAGGCGGGTACTGTTTTTTATTTAACTAACTACTGCTATTTGGTTGTGAGGAATGTAATGTGCTGCTAACGGGGCTAACTGGTATATTTAGCTTTTCCCAAATCCTGTAGGAAGAAGGGCAATAACATCTTTCATCTTGATAAAATAAACCAAAACTTCTTTTTGTTCTGACTTTATATCCTTGATCTCGGGAATTGTTGCCAACACAGAATGTATGGCTCTTTGCTGATTAGCTTGTGCCCAAACTCACACTTCCAGGATTTTTGCAACCCGTCTAGTGTATTCCGATTCCTGACCTAGTCGCTGGAGAGAAAGGTCTTTGAGTGGAAACTAAGTGGCGCCAGCCTGGCAAGGTGAGGTGTACCCTTGCACAGCAAGATGGATTCTCACCATATTTGTAAATTCACAGATTCACTTCAGAATGACACACATATCATTATGGCGTGAGCGTTAAGATAGGTGAGAGTTCAGCTGGCTTTTCTCTTTTGGTTATGACTTATTTTGGACCCAAACTGGAGCTACTATATTTTTAATACGTCCTTTCTACAACTCTTCCTCACTCTCAGCTGATAAGGCCTGAGTGATGTTGAGGGAAGAAGCTGTGTCGTATTAAAGCCAATTGAAGGCACACCTCTTATGGGAATTTAATAAAGAGAAGCAGAAGGCAGAGTATAGCTATAGGTCCTAAGGTGATTGTGTGAAGATACACTAGAGACGAGTAAATGCAATTACAGTCTTGGCTCAGACAGTTTCAGATATATATATATATATTTTTTTTCTGTGATAAAAGAAGCATAACAGAAATGGTTCTAGTTAGTGGCTACAGCAAAACATCTTATTTATTATTTGTAGTGATTTGCATTTTGATGAAAAAGAAACATCTATAAAATCTAAATTTCTCATGTTTTAAGATACTTACATGTGACTGGGCTGGACCTTCACACAAGCTTGAAGTTCTTTCTCTATTCTATTATCTATTTCATATTATAGGGGCACTGCACAGGGCTGGTACATGTATGCAGACAGTTCAAATGGAGGCTATCGTGACACCAGTGACCTCCAGACACCTGTCATCTCCTCCACAGGACCCCGCTGCACCTTGGTCTTTTGGTACCACATGAGTGGGTTCACTGTGGGGTCACTGCAGGTGAGAGCCACATAATCAAATGGAAAAAAGCCAGAGTGGAAAATGAATAGAAATGTATAGGTGGTAACTAAATTGTCATTCACTACAGGTGCTACTGAAATTTGGAAATGTCACCCATGAGGTGTGGTCTCAGTCAGGCACACAAGGCAACAAATGGCGACGAGGAGAGGTGTTACTAGGATTAGCCAAGAATTTCCAGGTATAAGTTATTAAAATAGGTATTTACTATGAAGTAAACGTGGACATGTTTTTTTTTTCTTGTTGTTTTGTTTGATTTGAAGTAAATGTCGTCATAGTTATATAATAAATGTAGACAGTGCTCTAAACACAGAATCATTATTGCATTTGGCCTCAAGTCAGTTGAGACAAGATTGTAAGCCCCACAGTCAATAACACATTGATTGTGTCTAATACTATCTAATGAGTTTGAAGTGTGTGTAGTAGTAATTAAAGGTATGATCCTGTAGTTCCCTAGACTTTTGGGGTTACTCTAGGTCATGTGACTTTTATTTTTATGGTTTTATAGTTTTGAAATGACTGCATTTAATACAAATTCGTGGAAGGATGCCTCTGTCAGCATGGTCTGATTGTCTCAGGACCAGTGTTTTTAGGCAATAACATGTCATGTTGTAAAATATGTCTTTGAAAATTTGTGACAGAACAAGTAAAGTGACTTTATTATTATGTGTTTTTTATTAGGTGGTTTTCCGAGCACAGGAAGGCATCAGCTACATGGGAGATGTAGTGATAGACGACGTGCACTTCCAGCACTGCTCTCCTTCTGTATTTTCTAACACACCATGTACATCTGAGGAGTACAGATGTTCCAATGGCCACTGCATTCCTCAAGACAATTTATGTGACTTCATCAACCACTGTGGGGACAGCTCGGATGAAGACCCCTTCATCTGCAGTAAGCACCTCCTCAAGGTTCTGTCATACTATTCACTGAAATCTCATTACCTTCATGAGACCTAATCTGATTTTATTAATTTGTGTTCATAAAGTTAATGCAACATACCTCCAACAGCCATCTTGTTTTTCTATGTAATTCTATTCCTATGATCTTTCAGAGGGCTTTAGTGGTTGCTGCAGTTTTGAGTTTGACCTATGCTCCTGGCGCCAGTGCAGCACGGACAACTTTGATTGGCTAATCAAAGCTGGAAGGACTTCCACGACTAGCACAGGGCCATCGAGTGACCACACTCTGAGATACCCCAGTGGACACTACCTTTACCTGGAGGCCTCCTTCCCCCAGGCCGCTGGAGATGTGGCCCAAATAGTAGGACCACTGTTCAGTCACAGGAGCAAACTCTGCAAGGTACCACAGTATAAGTATTCGTCATTCAGTAATACTGCACAACGTCTTCAAGTTCATCTTGTTGCTTAGTTGATGAATCTCTTTTCTGTATAGTCACAGACTGCACTCTAACGTGGAATAGGAACCTGTGTGTTCTTTTGTGTGCGTGCTGCCAGATGTCAGCCTCACAGTCCACTGGGTAAAATCACTTGATTGACTGGCTGGTTTGCTCTGGTTATTGTGTCTGCCTTATCCTCTGCAGACCTGTCCATCAATCGTACAATCAGCTAAAAAGCCAATTAGACATCTGGGTATGTGAGCTAGCAAGAAAGGGAGGAGAAAAGGAGGCTACAGCCATAGACTGCCATAGAGTTGCCTTTTTTTATCCACACACTTTGTCAAACAGTGGTGACCAAAATGATGAAACAACTCAAATACACTATATCAATGTGAAAATATTGTGTTTTAATTTAGTTGGTTACCTCTGTCTTTTGTAGATGCGTTTCTATGTGCACATGTCTGGAGAGGGCATCGGGACTCTGAGTGTGTTCATCCTCAGTGAAGGACAAAGCTCTCTGCAGATGAACCTAACTGGAGATCAGGGCAACTACTGGCAGCTGAGGGAGGTCCTGCTGAGCTCGGCCCGGGACTTCCAGGTTATGGTGGAGGGCAAGGTGGGATGGAACCCCAAAGCCGACATCTGCCTTGATGACATTACCTTTTCCCCTGGATGCCTGCTCGCCTCCTCCGCAGGAATAGAGGACAGCACACCCTCACCACCTGCGGGTACATGGTTCTGTAACATAGTTGCATAAACTGTTTATATGAACTGTATCAGAAAGTACATAACTCATTATTTCAATTGCTATAATGTAATTATTACAATTACTATAATATTACTAATTATTGCACAGTATTATTATTCAACTATATACATTTTTGGTTATTTTAGCTTTTGTGGAAAATTGTGTTGTTGTGCAACGTGACCAGTCAGAACAGTGGAGAGGCAAGCCTGCTCATAGTTAAAATATATGCTTTTAAAATTTTTGTATAGCGCTTTTCCACCTTTAAGGCATTTTACATCAAGGTGCCACTCACCCATTCACACACACATTCATACACAAACTGAGCTATAGTCGCCCAGTAGATTAAAGGAGTGTTTTTAGCAATAAAAACTGTTGTAATCAATAAATGCAAGGTATATGTGTTTAATGGCCAAATGTAAAACATTCCCGGCAAAGTAAAAACAAACATCGACCAGGTGGTGGACCCTCTTCTAGAAAAGTTACATACCTTTAATTTTGGAGAAGTTATTATTATAGAGCTCTATCACCAGGTATTGGAGAAGAACAGTAAATTGCAAATTTTCTACAGTAATTACTATTAACAAAACAGCTGAATTATGATAGCCATTCATTTTTTTATGAAATTCGACATTTTATTTTGACACAATTTTATTTTATTTTCGCAACCAAATAAATACTATCATGAAAACTGTTACTGCGTGTCAGACCAACTAATTTGAACTTTTATTGTCTGCCTCTGACGCACAAAACAGTTAGCAAAGCCTTGACATTCCCTACATTCTTCATGAGGAAACTTTTATAAGATGACTCACAACAACAAGAGCTGATTTATGGCATTTGTCACTGCAACCATTACAACCATAATAAATGCATTGCCCTTTTGTATTCTGCTCCCTGAAAGAGAGTGAATGCATTGCTGCAGTGTATGTTAATAGTCTGTGGTTCATACAAGAGTCTCCTTGTGTTTGAGGTGAACTCGAGAAAGCTTGTGCCCAGAACAGTTACTTCTATAACTGCCTCTCTCCTGAACTGTTTGAAAGAACAGCTGCAACACCTTGCTCCATTAGTCATAGGACTTACACTTACAATAGAGCTATTAATCTTGTACTCTAGTCTAGTCTTATATTAAGCTGTTCTTTTTTAATGTTTGTGGAGAATAGTTTTAATGCTTAACTTTTTTTCTCTGTGTGATTTACTGTTTTTATCTTCCCTGTATTATTTGTTTATTGCTTAGTAGCAACTTAGTAACTAACTTGTTTAATACTCTAACTCAGTTAAGTAGTTCTTAGCCTGAATCATTCTTAATAAACAATTTCTTCATTATGACATCATGCTACACCACAGATAATCTTAATTTACCATCATGCATCAGGGGGCATGATGGCTCCTTGCTCTTATAGCTGTAATATATCGCCTGTTTTTTCTTTACAGTGGGATTTACTCTATTACACAGTTGTACTGACACTCAGCTGAGCTTTCCTGACTTCCTCTGTGCTTTGTTTATGCACATTGCTTTCGCTCCTGTGCATTTGAAGAGGAATAAGAGGAATAAAGGATTAGGAGAGTCTTAGAGCCTTTAGCTTGGAGGCCACCCCTCTTCATTACGGCTCATCTCCCTCGCTAGCACTTCACTGACCCTGCTCCTGGAATGCCCAGTGCTTTAAAAAAACTGATTCCAACCCATTTTAGGAATGCGGGCAGCATTCATACACAAATTTTGTTGTTCTGTCTCCTTAACGCTTAAAAAGATCTCAAATGAATAACATGTTCATTTAATAGTTTAATCTAATATAAAGATGCTGAATAATGGAAGAATGGTAAGAATGAAATTTTTGTTTTTCAGACCCTTGTCCTTCAGGCTTTTTGCCTTGTGAAAATGGTCAATGCTTTTCAGTGGGGCAGAGCTGTGACTTCAGAGATGACTGTGGTGATGGCACAGATGAGAAGGAGTGTGGCACGTCCTGCTCTTTTGAAGGTGGTCGGTGCGGATGGAAAAGCTCCCTGGCTGATCATTTTGATTGGTCACTGGGCACAGGCTCTTTCCAAAGAATACGGCCTCCATATGACCACACTTTGCAGAATGAACATGGTTGGTGGACTTTTTTCTTCTTAAAAATTGTAAACTGTTTGTATATTACAGGTAATACCTGATATTGGTCATTTTATATAACTACTAAAGTTGAAGCCTTTAGCGTGCGTCTGTGGTTTAACAGGACACAATTTTAACAAATCTGTAAATATCAGTTTTGGCAAAGAGCAAACAAATGTTGCCGCATAGCTCAATTGATAGGGCCTGCAATGCATATTTAGAGAATCTATTGCTTTGTTAGTTGCTATAGCTTTGAGCCTTACTACTTAAGTAGCTTAATGTGGTTAAATTGCAAACTTGATTAACTTTTCCAGTACCAAAACTGACAAACAAATTAATTTCAGACATTTCATGTGCTGCTTTAAACAAATCTACTAAACGTACATAAAAATAAAATAATGGCAAGAGAAAGAATATAAAAGTCAAACTGCAGCAGCGCATTAGTAGATTAATCTGACCTATTGCCCCTGTTCCCCACCCCTCTGTCACTGGGTATGCTTTATTTACACCGACTGCCTCAAGTGCATTTACCCACTCAGACCAGTTATCATTTCTTATCTCCTTGATTTCTTCTCCACCTGTCCTCTGCAGGTCATTTTGTGTATCTTGAAGCAACACCGGTGGGACTGAGGGGTGATAAAGCCCATATCAGAAGCTCCATGTGGAAAGAGTCAAGTGCTGTCTGCAAGCTCTCCTTTTGGTACTACATTTCCCATAAGGCCACAGGAACAATTCGTCTTCTGATTAAGGTAAACACTGAGCCACAAAAGACAGATGCTTATTTACAACAATAGACTACATTGTTGTACTAGTGAAAATCTCTGCTTCCCAAATGCTGTCTTGTACTTGAGCCTCTACATTAATACTCTTCTGACCTTGCCATCTGTACTGACATTTTTGTGTGTGGCATTTAGCCTGTTAATATCCTAGTCATCACTTTAGCACACTTTATCCTAGTAGGTAAACAGAGATGGGTAGAGCAATCAAAAAATGTACTTAAAAATAATATTACTCAAGTAGATGTATGACAAAATGTTTTGGGGAAGCTAAATGGAAGAGGTAACTGTCTGGACATAACATCTGATTCATAATTTCACAAAACAAAAAAAATTTGTCAGAAAAAGTGTGGTGTTTGTCTGAAAACTACTCCAAGAAGTACAACTTTATTAAGAAGTTTTAAGTACATACAATTGAGCAAATATAGCTGAGTCTTTTCTCCACTCTCTACATTAGTTATGATAAATGTTTCAGCATTTTGTAATTGAAATAAGTGTAAGGGACTGATGAGGTACCTGAAGAGATCAATGCTTTCTGCTTTAGTCAAAAGTCAATAAATAATTCAGCTATACATTTTGGTGTTGTAATAATGCAAATGTGATGTCTACAGGTTAAGCTTGGAAATTCATTCACAAAAATTCATTCCATATATTTTTATTTATTGATCTATCTACCATTTAATTACATTTACCCAACTCCCTACCAGACTACAATATTGATTGAACTTTCAAGTATTCAAGTAATCCCAATGGCCTTGCTGTGTTCAAACAAAAATCCAATTGTGAAATTTGCACAAAATTTACAAAGCCCGAGATCGATTCAGTTCTAATTCAGAAGCTACACAGATTCAACTCGCCTATGTGCAGAGTGCCCCATACCATTCATTCTCTTAGTGTACTATGCTCCAGACACCTACGTTTTTTATTAAATGAGATATTTGCACATTGATAAATAAGCCGTTAATAGATGTTCATGTTCAGACTGGGAAATTATCTACACTGAGGACTAATATAGGCATGTGCTTTCTTATTGATTTATTATAATTTCTTATTTTATTTTATTTAACCAGGAAAGAAATCCCATTGAGATTAAAAACCTCCTTTTCAGTGGAGTCCTGGCCAAGAGGCAGCATACATACCAACAATAAAATTAAATAATCACAATGCCACAAGGATGCACACTTTATAGAATCAGTACATTGTGTAATAGCTTCTAATAATATGATCATTTATTTCTGCACTGTTATTTTGCATAATTTCACATAGGAAACCTGCATATAAATGTATACATAGAGAAATATATATGCAGTTTAAACGGCACATTGTGTGAGCTGAGTGCAAATGCAGCATTTAGAGGCTGATAGAAGAACAAAGGGACTTATGGTAATGATGCTGGAGGCTCCTCGTGGGCAGAGCCTGAGAAGACATAGGAAAATATTTGCCTGGTAAGGAGCTATGAAGTGAGCTCACACTCATCAGCAGGTAAGCACTTATTAATAGTCAGATGTATCCACAGTTAAGGTCTAAGTGTAATGCATGTAGGATTAAACATTGTTAAACGTTAGTCATTTCAACTGGGCGGTAAATTTAAACAGGCAAAAAATCTCCATATTGTATACATATAATATGTTTCAACAAGCAATAATTTTAAAACAAACAACATTTGATGAATATTATGTTATTGTTTTTTTTCTGCATTTCATAGCATGGGTTAGACACGTGGACATAAACAAAATATATACAAGTTTTATTTTTTTAGTTTTATTTGAGTTGTTTACTCAGCAAAGATATATTTACAATTCCAAACATCATATATGCATAATAATAATAATAATAATAATAATAATAATAATAATAATAATAATAACAATAATAATAATATGGTATGGAATTATTATTAGTATAGTTTACCAAGATCAGGATTAATACTAAAGAGGCCATGAAAATTAAGCACATCTCTGCACAGTGGAACATTTTGTGTAATGTGTCACATCAAGCATTTTAAGATGGCAGTAAAACCTGCTTTATTATTACTCTTTTGTCCTTTCACCTCTGTCCTTTCAACGAGGAATACTAAACTGAAAATGTATTTAATGTATACCCACACATCACTAAGGCTGTAGTTAGCCTGCTTCACTGCTGAATGACCAATTAAATGCTGAGAAAGATAGGCTGCAGAACCCTAACCACATTCACTGCTATCAAATGCTGTTATAGATTGAGTCTTTACACGATGACATAAATCTGGATAAGTCGAGCTGTAACACTGCCTATTAATCTATGCTCTCCTCTCACAGTAACAAGATTATTTAAACCAGGACTCCGATGGCTTAAAGCTGAGGAGACAGCCTGTGCCTGCCTCACCCGAGGGTGTACTTAATAGGCTTTCTAACTGCAGTGAGGAAAGTGACATTGCATGTCCTATGGTTTCGAGTACACTGGACCACAACTCTTAAGTGTTTTTAAGAAATACAGCTAGCATAGTGCTCAAAAAGAAATGGTATTTTAATTAAAAGGAATCAGATATGTAGTTGTAATATATCTAGGTGAAGATCAGATTGCTGCTTATGTATGAATATGGAGTGTTGTGTGACATGTCTGCCTATCAGACACAGGGCAGCTATGGCTACATTAGAAGCTTATTTTTCTGTATCTTAAAAGGTGCAAAAAAATCTAAGGCATTATTATGTGCACTCCTGCTCATATTTTCTAGAGCATCAGTGTAGTTGTTTATTAAGCCTGTCCCATGAACTACTTGCTTGCCAGACTCATTGCTGTACCTGTATAACAAATAAAGAGAGATTCTGGATTTCCAGGCAAATGAACTACATGAATATTAGAGAAATAAATTATTATAAACCTGTATACTATTACACTAGTTAGAGCCCGACCGATATGGATTTTGTTGTGGCCAATATGAAACCGATATAATGGGAGTTGGAGCTGCCGATAGCCGATATAATCACCGATATATTTAGTGATGTAAAAATTCACTGTAAATCTTGAATTGTTAAAAAAAACTTAGGTTTGGCTCTAGTGGATTCTAAATTGGGTTATTTAGGCAACATTTATTGTTATTCTGCCTCTTTACATCATATTTACAGACAGTAGGTTGGCCTAATGGCATTTTTGTATCACATTCTAGCTGATGGGTATTCCAGTTCTTTTTTTGGATAACCGGCTCTTTTGGCTTGGCTCACGAAAGCAGCTGGCTCTTTCAGCTCCCAAGCGACTCTTGAGATTGTTTTGTTGCAAGCAGAACTAAACCAAAACTGAACCAGGGCTGAAAAAGGACTAAACCAGAACTAAAACAGATTTAAACCATGTGTAAAACAGGACTAAACCAGAACTGAACCAGGACTGAGTGTCGGGACTCGGTCTCTCCCTCACTCGAGCCCAAGATTAGTCCTGGTTTATTCATTTTATGCTGAACTCCAGCCAAATATGCACTTTTTATTTTTTTATCCTATGCACACGCAGATTTCTGAAAGTTTCGTTTTCAGCTGCTGCTGTCAAACTATGAGTCTACATGCGACTTGAAGAGAAAAAGTGAGAAAAAGAGAAAACACGGCTCCCAATAAGAAACATGCTCCCGTTGTTCGCTTCAAAGAGCCGGCTCTAAGAGCCGCTCCCTAGTAAATGGTAAAGTCAATTTTTCTATCGCTTTTCCACCTTCAAGCACTCAAGCGCTTTACCAAGGAACCACTCACCCATTCACACACACATTCATACACCAGTGTAGAGCACTTGGGCAAGGTGGGTTAAGTGCTTACCGCATTCATCGAATCACACCGACGACTCCTAGAGACTCGAAAACTCCTAGCTAGTAAATAAACTACCGCTATTAGCCTTTAGCCGTAAAAACGTGCGCGCCGCGGTAATTAATTATATGCATAAATGTGGATCATTCACACGTCTATTCACAACTCATTTACATATCAATGCTGGTCCAGTAGCAAATATACGGCCAATATAGTCACTTTACAATAGGCCAATAGAAAACAGTCTGTTTATGTGCGGGAGCTACAGCAGCTAATCGCTAATAACAAATAGCCAAAACTAGCTTCAAAGTCGATGTATATCCAAAACTCACCGCTCACACAGGTTCCTCCTCACATCACAAGTCTGCCCTAATAAAAGGCCTTTTAATCCAGACTCAAACCGATTGTCCGTAAAAAGAATATAATCTCAGTGTTGCGCACCGCTGCGGGTGTAAACAATAGCACATGAGTGAAGTGACGTGACTCTGGGGGTGTGTTCAGGGACAGTACGGACTAGAGATCCGCGGATTGCGGTTACAACCGCGGTATCCGCGGTTAATCCTCGGGTCGGGTGGATGACGTGACGAAAAATTATATTTTAATTAAATTCGGGCGGGTGGCGGTTTAACTACTAAAACAAAAAAAAAAGTTATTGTTAGTATTGTTACCTACATCTGAAAAGACGAGTCTCATTGTCTATGCTTGTAGTATGAAGTGTACATCATATTCTTAATTAGCCCATTTGACCTCGTTTTTATGTTCTGAAGGTTAAGGTTGTGTCAGGTTATTGATAGCCTAAGGTTTACGAGGCACATATTATATGCAGTTTATTTTATTATTTCTAATTTATTTCAGCTGTTTGCCAACACATAAGTGGCTATAGGGCCATATTTATTTAGTTATGCATATTTTTTCTTGCCTATTTAAATTGGAATATAAAGAGGGCATTGCCTGATTTCAATAAAGGTTCATCTGGATGAGATGATCTGTCTACTTTGTTTCAATATCAGTTATATTTTAAAACACGCAGACATTATAGCGTAGACTGCCACTCGGGGTATTTAAAACTTAAAGAAAGACCGATGGAGTGAGGCTATGACTTTGAAATAACATCAGGCAATGGCAGAATGTTCAGAATGTAACAACATCCAACACGAAGGCAAGAAGGTTCAAAAATAGCCTAGTCGGAAAACGTTGTCAATGAATTAGCTGCGCAAGAAAACCAGGTAAGTCTGGGGTTGTTACGGACAATTAAGAATGTGAACATACACGCTGAGCGAATTTTGGAATGAATGAGCTGTAGAGTTTGCATTTTTATCGAGGCTCCTTAGTTTGTTTGGTGTATGATTGTTCTCGGGTGCGGTTTTGAAAACCTTCGGTGCAAAATGGATAGCGGGCGGATGATGAGTTTTGTGTCGCAGTTGCGGGATGAAAAAATAGCCCATCCGCGCATCTCTAGTACACACAGACACAGACAAATTACACCGCCGATAAATACTGATGCGGAGCCACATATTAGGACATTTATCTGTCTGTAAATTGGATTAAATGAACATAATGCAGAGAGTCTAAGCTTTATAAGGAGGTATAACATGCCCACGTGAAATATCGACCCATATCAGCAAGCATATCGGCCGATAGCCGATATGTCTCCAGGTGCCCATATCGGCCAATAATATCGGCCAGCCGATAAATTGGTCGATCTCTAATACTAGTATGTGCATAATGTGTGTGACATTATTTCAAGTATTTATTTTCAAGTAGAGTTTTACTTTTTTGTGGAACAATAGATTTATCCACCTGAAATCAATTTACCCTCTCATTTTGATTCATGTGAAGTTTTTCCCCAACTGCTGTATGACTTTGTAAATGTTCTTTCCTTGACATTAAAATCCCCCGATGAGACGTTTCCCTTTAACACAGATCCAGTCCTTCTAAAGAAGTGTATATAATGATTTAGTGACTGCATTTTGCCATGGGAAAAGACACAGGAGGCTGACAGTGGAATACACATGGGGTGTTCTAACAGAGCCCATATGTGGCAAGAGGGATATTTATTATTCAAGGCACAACCTTAATGCCATGACAATTCAGCTTTAGTCCTGTACTTTATAATATGGATTTTTAATAATTTTGTTCTAATTTTTCAAATTATTATTATTATAATATATTGCATGGTATACCACATATTTCATTTGTCAATTTCTTCTTATTTTTTTATTCCCTTTACAGACTGAAAATAATTTGGTGGAAATGTGGAACAAGACTGGACACCAGGGGAATTTCTGGAACCATGTTGAGGTCCCACTGAGGAAACTGAGAAACTTTGAGGTCATTTTTGAGGGTGTCCGCACCATGGATTTGAGTGGAGGTGCTGCCTTGGATGACATAGAGTACATAGACTGTGCCCCAAGTAAGTTTATTTATTCTCGCCACTCTTCTCTTAAACATCTGAGAAAAGGTTTTGTCAAGCTATAGTTACCAAATGTACCTCCAGTGTCCCAAAGGCATAAAATTACTTTTCAACCTTTATACATAAATATAATGAGGAGGTCAAAGAAGTGTGCAACCATTTTATTGTGTTAGAAGAACTAGCGGTAAAAGTTTATGAACGCCAGAACTCCACCTGGCAAAGTCATCACTGATTTGCCAATACTTAGGAAGGAAACTGCTGATAAATGACTATAACATTGTGGAAAATGGTCAGGGCGTTTGGTTATTTCAAAAATAAGGTCAGCTCCACTGCTTTATACTGAAGTTCTAGTGTTGAATTTAATACATATTTTTCAAAAAGTGCAAGTCTAAATAGTACCCATTTCATAATATTAACTATACCCTTCCTATCACCCTTTAATAATCTTGTGGGGCTGGATGTCCTTCTGCCATAAAAATTATTTTATGATCCTTTCAGCTGATAGTTCAAAGTACGTAAGTAATAGATTTTGTCACTAGTGTGCTCAGTATGAGAACAGTGGAGCTGATTGAGTGCCAGTGTACTTTCTGGGAGAGCTTGGATTGGGGGCAGATAATGACAGTAGTTGACCAACAGTTTATGTCTGAGGCAGATGCTCCACATTAAACAGGGCTTGGCAGAAGGCTGGACACTATGACTCACGTGGCTACATAAACACAGGGACAAAAATAGTGACAGAGACAAGCACATCAATCAAAATGCAAATGGCGTGCATGCCCTGACTGACAAGCAAACTCTTCTAAACCATTTACATTTTATAACTCTCATCATATGAAATGCTCTCAAACATACCAAAATGTGTGTCCTTTCATGGCATTAACCCTGTCAAACACAAAAATGTACTCGGTCTCCTCATTTGTCATGTGATGTCTTTGAACTAGACAGTATTCACATTCATACCGACACACAAGTTTTTCATGTTGTGCTACAGTGAGCTCTCTCTGATTCCCTGTATCCACTTCTCTCCTTCTGTCTTGTGTCTTTACCCAGAAAAACTAAGAAACAGGTTTCATTCCTCTGACAAGCCTTTGTACGCAGTTGTTTATCTTCTTTCTTCGCCCAAATAGAGCAGTCAAAGAACATTTGTAACAATAAACATATGTTCAGTTATTGTCCTAAATTAGTGGAAAAAACAATGGTTCTAGTATGTATTTAGAGGGTTCGTAATACTTTGATTAAAAGCAATAACCAAGCAAGCACAGCCATCTGCAAAGGTGTTCAGCCTGGTCTAAAACCAGATGTCTTTTGTTCATTTAATTTGACTGTTGTTTATATAATAGATATTTTTTCATTCTGTACTGTCTTAATTTCCAGTAGACACCCTTTACTTTACTTTAAACCCTGTGGCCCATATTTCCATAAAATCTTTAAAATCTGAATTGTACTTTTTATAACATATCTATTTTACTGAAAGAATGAGACATGCACATTTGTGACCATGGTTAAAATTAAGTGATAAAATAAGACAAACGTGAAATGAAACTAATGTTTTGGACGGTCCCTGGTTAAAAAGAATGGCAGTAAAATCCAATACAGATGATAAAATGTAAGGACTCACAGGACTCCACGAAACAGTAAATATATATTTTGCTAACTATACTGTGTCTTAGGTGACGTACCGGTGAGTTGCCCTTCTGTGACTGACTTTGTGTGCCTGAGTGGCCATTGCATCGAGTCTCACCTGGAATGTGACAGCAAGCCCGACTGCGCAGATGGATCGGACGAGATATACTGCGGTGAGTAGAAAGAGAAATTACCTGCAAATCCATCTTCTGTTACAAGAGGAAATCAAGATTGCCCTTGCAGACCTTTTATTCCTCATGTCTCCTCTCTACTTCTCATGCAGATCATATAGCTATTTTGCCTGGCTCCTGCAATTTCAACATGGAGCCCAGCCAGTGGGAGGAGGGCTGCCAGCTTTCTCAGGACACCAGTGATGACTTTGATTGGACCATCAGTCACCAGAGTCACACTCCAGGAACAGGGCCTCTGGCTGACCACACTCAAGGTCTGTCTATGCCCACTCTACTACAGAGAGATTCAGCCAATTACTGCTTATATTCAAGGCGATAGTGACTACAGTGGTAAAGTTGCTTGGCTCATAAATGAAAGCTTGGGGTTTAGTCCCAGTTCTGATGATTGTATATTGTTTTGGTGACCTTGAGCAAGATACTTTATTTACCTTCCCTATTTATGAATTTGATGAGTTAGTGAATAAGAGCCTGATGGAGGTCAGAGTGGCTGTATGGACAGATTGCCCCAGGGCAGTTGTGGCATCAGGGGCATAGAGTGCATTATATAGCATCTTTGAATGTCAGTCATTTTACTAGTTAATTCTTCTTATAATTGTCAAAACAGCCATTACTACTATCTGAACATGCTAACTTAACACTTGAATGATGAGGGTTGCGTTGCTCTTAAAAGCTATGACAAATTAATAAGAGAGATCATTTTCTGTGGGGTCCATATGAAATAGGCAAACAATGATATATGTCTACCCCTTAAGTATACACATATTCAGTATTACCACCTCTGACCGCTTAACTTTATTGAAAGTGACCCACTAAATGTTATAGCTTTGAACAACTAAAAGCCAGTAATGTATCCTGATCAATACGCTAAGTCAAGCTGAACTCCACCCCAATATGCTTTTTGTTGTCTTAATTTGTCAGTAATGGCTTTAAGTGAGAATTATGCTGCATCTCTTATTCCCACTTCAGTACTAAACCGTATTGATTTACCTGTTGTTGTTAACTGATTGTGCAAAGAATCAATTTTCTTGTGAGCAGGGATCAAAAATTCATGCTGGCAGCTAGAGCCACTTGTCTGTATTTAATCTTATATTGCAGAGGTTGGAAAAGGTATTCTTACACATGCCCTTACCGCCCTATCATAGCTTTTATTTTACCCCAGCTCTACTGGTGTCTGTGAGTTTCTCATCTTTCTTAATTGTGTCCAGTTAACTTTATTGATCAAAAAGATGAATGTGGACCCTAGTTGCTGTGTCATGCTTTGAACTTAGAATACCGCCAGCAAGCAGATCAATAGAACTGGCCAGTAGAACTTCCTATACACAAGCATTAAATTGAACAAAGCCAAAATATGCCCAGTACTCAAAACATTAAATTTCGTAATGGGCTAAATGCATGCAGATCAGAGAGGAAAATCAGCCAATGATGGATCTATAGCTGTGGGTGGGAACAGGGCCTGGTGCGTGCCGTGGATAGTGATGGCCTTAAATCCCCTCTAACTCAAGTGGAAAACTCCCACTTTGTTCTGCCATATTTTCTGATGCTGCCTTATCCCAGAAGTCAAAAAATGTCTGCAGTATTTCACCCCAAGAGACTATTTTCAAACCAACACAATATGACTTCCTTTCTCCCCTAAATACTGCAGTAAATTGTGTGTGGAACTAAAGGGAAAACTGTACAATTGGATTGGGTTTGGCTGTGGGTTTGGAATTGGTTGTTTAGATATTACTAGTTCAATTGTCAAAAATTATTTGCACAAATGCCTATTATATTTCTAGCATGGAAAGCTGTGGTCATATGTGTTTTTTATTATTCCAAATTGGTAATTAAAATGTATTCACTTCTAAATACATTACAATTAAGCTGATTATAAGGGTCCAGTTCTGCACTGTGTAGACCTGCATGATACTTAGTGATTTAGTAGTAGAGAAAGTGGAGGGCTTTGCTGTTTTTGGTGGGTTAACATTCTTTAATAGAAAAAAGCAAAAAATAAACTTTCTTGTTAACATGTTAGGTGGTGGTGGGAACTTCCTTTATATCCACTCAGCAATTCAGCGAGAAGGTGATGTTGCCACGGTGACAACTCGGGCCTCATACCCTGCCAGCATCGGCCTTTGTCACCTGCGCTTTTGGTTCTACATGCATGGCTCTGACAGGATGGGAACTCTCAAGGTAATTTCAGCTCCCCTGCATTTCTGTAAATAATTTAAACATCCATTTAAATGTTGGTTTTCACATTATCTATCATCAACCTGACAGTTTAATTTGAATTTGTCATAAACCTCAACTTCATGATCAATCATTCAATCCCCAATGGAGTCTCCGAAAGTCTGAATGCATCTCAGTATGTCTGCATGGCCCATAGCGAGTAACAAATACAAAATTTGAATTTAAAATGACAAGCTCTAAAACTCCCCAAAAAAGGCAACAAAACAGATGCAATGGAAAAGATAAGATAAGAGCTGGTAACACTTTATAATAACTAGAGTTAGGCAAGTATTTTATTGTTTAAATAAAGCACGGACAACAACTTCATAAGGAACAACTGTTAACTAAGAATCATTCAGGCTTTATATCTGCTTAATTAAAACCCCAACTCCTAACTCTAGCCCCTCAATTAGACTAATTAAGGTGGTATTAATAAATTATATTTAGTCTAGAGGGATCATTGAAGTCTTTAAATTTTGATGCAAGGGATTACAAGCAACTGAAGCTATAGCTAAATTGTATTAATTATTCATTGTAAATATCCTTAAAGGTCCCATATTATGTAAAATGTACTTTTGTGAGCTTTAAGCCATGTTTTACTTCATCAGAAACGTACCTGGAGTTGTGTTTTGTTTCATTCATTATATGTTTGTGTAATATTGCATTATAGGGCTGCCTGGATGCCCAAAGCTCAAAACTTACACATTGTGATGTTATGTAGTTGTAGTTAATATATACCATTACCTTCTGGTCAGTAGAGATTGGAAATTCCATGCCTGAAATTATCAAAATGATTGTAGTGAAGGTGCATGGAGTTTAAAAACACAGTGGAGCAGTTCTGTTACCACATGGCATCACAAGGTGGAACAGAATGTTTTCCCGTTTGAGAGAAGAATGGATTTGTGTGTTAAACATGTGTAAATGAAACAAAACACAACTCCAGGTATGTTTTTGATAAGGAAACAATATTATAACATAGATCAGGAAATAGCATAATATGGGCCCTTTAACATTATCATATATACAGTGTAAGTTGGTGATTTTTTTGTGTGTGATTTCACTATTGATAGTACTGTGTAACTCTTATTATGTGTTCATAGGTGTACACTGTTGGAGAGAGCGGTACTCCCCTCCTCATGTGGGCTGTGACCGGGAATCATGGCCCTCAGTGGAACTACGCTAACATCGTCCTGTCCAACACTAGTCCTTTCCGGGTGACCTTCCAGGGAGAAGTGGGGGGAGACATGTGGACAGACATCGCTTTGGATGACATCTCCTTCACCGAGGAGTGTGTTGCTGGGGGTAGAGTCACTTCTTCTTTGATTTGTCAATTCCCTCTCTTTTCCACCTGCTCCACCGTCAGCCTGCATCTACAGCTCTCTACTGTGCTTCTCTGTAAAGTGAGTGCAGTGTAAAGTAATGGACCGGGTTGGCCTGTGGAACATATACATTGAGCGCTTAGGGCAGGAGGTGGAAACCAATTACATTAATATAGTTTATCTTTCTTCACCTTAGACCTGCATTGTTCCTTCACCTCTGAACTACAGCTGTCTTCAAAACCCAGTGCTCTCTAAAACAGATGCCCTCATTTGCGTTGTTGAGAGGGATACTGATGGGGTCTATTTGTGCTATTGCAGGTTCAGTGACCCCACAGCCCATGACCTGTGCTGCAGACAAGTTCCAGTGTTTGTACTCCTTCCAGTGTATATCTCAGAGCTGGAGGTGTGATGGAGAGCTAGACTGTGATGACCACTCCGATGAAGAAGACTGTGGTTCTCTGATACCAGGGACACTGCCTCCTCAGGGCCGCTGTCCTGTGGGATATTTCCAGTGTTCCAACGATATTTGCCTGCCCTCCATTCTGCGCTGTGATGATGTTCCTGACTGTCCCCAAGGAGAGGATGAGTACAACTGTCGTATGTATAAATTTAAAATAGATAATAGACAATCACTGCTTTATCATACTTAGTGACAGAAGCATTCATCTGTAGCATATTAAACCATCACAGTCACACTAAAATTTATAAAGTATTAAGTGTTTTGCTTAAGGGCGCAGCATTATGATATACTAAGAGCTATTGGTTAGTTTCAATATTGTCAAACCAACCAAAAGCATAGTGTAGCATGGGAAAAAACAAATTTAAATTTAAAAAACAATTAAACATTGTCAGAGCACTCAGCTCCGCTATTACAATGCTTGAATTCCTTAAACTTAAGTCATGAGAGACGAGGTGGTGCTCTGAACTGTGTAAGTCATGGCACAAGGAATATCACAATGCATCTTTTAGAAGGCTTGACATGTGAGCAGGATTAGTGAAATCAAGTAGCTGTGCAAAGACAATTTTACAGACAGTGATCAAAGGCCCAAACAGCACTTCTGAGTAGTTTAATCCTGTTTGTGAACTCACACCTGGTCAGACGTCAGTGCACTCGTGAAAACCCCATGTCTGTCTCATGTTTTACTCAGCCATGCTGCAGTGTGGACCAGGGGAGCTGGTGTGTGAAGATGGGCCTTCTTGTATCCCAGTCCACCAGCGCTGTGACCACTCTGCCGTCTGTAAGCCTTTCCACCCTGATGAGTCCAGCTGCCATGGTAACAGCTCTCTCCTCCCGCTTTACATTGTTTCTGATATTTTTCACCATATGCAACGCTTATAATTTTACTCCAACACCCCCTCGTGTCACTTACTCAGCGGCGCCTTAACCCCTGCCAGAATATCATTTGCGTGTCCCCATTGACCGCCTGAGCAGTCACTCCCAGGACATTTTCAAGAGAGGCTGCTGTCTTTAAAGCACACCTCAAAGGTCTCTACCCACTGCCAAAACACATAAAAACGTTTTGGGCCTCTTGATGAATACAACCAGGCCACATTTAGTCTGAATTGAGTGCAAGCCCACAGTCACTTTATCAAATGTGGAGTCTGAAACACCATTAAAGATCTCTGACATCAACCTAAACTGTTCAACACTCTTAAACCTGAAATAGCCTATACACACTTAATTCATATACACATTCAAGAGATGAAAAATTGAGCAACTTTCTGCTCCAATGTATGTAGTAAATCATATTGACTAGTGCTTGACATTTAGAGGTAAATTGTTCTCCTAGGCAACACCATGTGAAGAAAAAAAACATGCAATTTTGCCAAAGCAGCCGCAAGGATACTGTCTATTGGTTTGTAAGGAAAGTAGATGTTTTATGACTTTTTGTTTTCTGTTGTTTGCAGTGCAACAAAATACATATCAGCCATGTTATACTAAATAATACTTTTGTTTAATCTTACAGAGTGCCCTCCGATGTTTTGTTTGTTCCATGGTATGTGTCAAGTTGAAAGGCTTGGCCCTGTTTGCATGTGAGTTTAAGCCTCCTCATTCTTGCTGACACAAACATGCACAAACAAACTGATAATGATCACGTGTGCTCCTCCGCCTCTTTCCCCACTCTGGCGTTTATTTGAGTCTTAAAACATGAAAATCCCATCAGTGTTGTTGCTCTCTGTGGAAAAAACATGCTCCGTGAAGCATGTGGGAATCTGCACATCCCCTCAAGCTTAACCGGAGAGCTCCTGCCTCTAATGCCTTCCCGGGAATGACTGATAGATATCACCAGTCAAACTGTCATGAGAAAAAGTTCACCACATGAGCTATTATTAAGAAAGTGACTTTTTATCTGAGGTCTCAAAATGCATCTTTTAGTTATTGGCATATTCATGTGTTTAAGTCAGGATGCTTCTCTTTATTGGACACCATTTGTAGGACTATAAAAAATCTTATGTCAACAGTCCTTATATTTTATCTCTCTAATATCCATTGATATATACTCTAATCTCATTATTTAATTGTAATGCAGAATGGTGTGTGTGTGTGTTTTTTTAATTTCGTGTTTATATCAGGTTTGCCATGTGAAAAATTCCTTTGCCAAGGACTTGTGCCGTCTTCCTATTATTAGTCTCTGCACAGTAATCCATTTGTCTGTATTTACTGGCACAAAATAATATAAACTCTAAAATCCAAAGAAAGTTTCTATCCACGGCTTTCAGAATGATGACATTTTAGGACTCTTGCCATAACAATTTAAACCAAAATATTATATCATTTGAATGGTGAAAAGTCCTCAAATTGTCACCTAGAGGAAACAGAAACCAATTAATATTTTTTTCCGCTGCATTAATTTGGTCATTCATTCATGCGTTGAGTTCGGGCCTGCTTCCGATTTGTCCTTGAGTCCAACATTCCTGAGAACACTGTGGCTTCTGCTGCCTCCTCTCATTATGTAACACACAGTAGCTCTCCTCGCTCTCCTCTATCACAGCCCTGGTAGAGACCTGGGACCACCTGAGTCTCCCCATTCACCTCCATACCAGTGAGAGCCAAGTCATCACCGGACCTACTGCCCAAGCCCCCCTGAATGATAATGACTTAGCCTGGCTCCACACGCTTCTGCTGCTGCTGCGTGTTTCACATTAGAAGGTCGTTTGTGCAGAGGAACTAGGCTGATTTTGAACAGATGTTGACTTGGAGCACACTCTCAGATCCGGAGAGGAGAGCAGTGTACCAAATCAGGCAAACTATTTACAAGCACACGCTGTTTTCATACTCTAGCTGACATGCTTTTGCCTGATTATTTTGAAATATTACCAAAAGAAACGTACACAGACTTTACTTTACTGTGCATTTTATGCTATCTAATAATTTTGAATAGTAAACCATGAATTTTACTAGAACAGTATTTCACTAAAAGGTTATTTTACAGTGGATTATAAATGGTTTCATTCAAGGCAGCTGTGAGATTTGGCATCACCTAAACAGTGAAAAACGCATTTAGGTCTGTGGTTTGCCTCAACAGCAGTAGGTCATTCCCATTACCACTGTTCAGGACTGGGCCGCTGTCACTTCATATGGTATGAAACCTTAAAATGCAGCTCATAGCGTCCTTGTGTTATGTTGATCAATTGGACAAGCAAGTATTGGACAAACTTTAGAAAGTTAACAAAAATGTCAAATACAGGATAATAATTTTGAGTATTATGTTTAGAACTGGGAATCAGAGGGTTCCTCATGATACAATACACAATACATAGCTCACGATACGATATTATTGCAATATGGTGATACATGCAATTATCACACATATTGCACATGATTTAATATTGCACATTTTTTAAGAACCAAATACATTTTAGCAGCAATATTTCCTTTTTAAGTCACTACTTGTACAAAGTTCATATGAAAAACATATATATATATATATTTTATCATCAAAACAGTGTCACGTTAATAAAATTGTAGTGCAGTCACAAAAAAAATGTCAATAAATATTGTATCTATACAGCAGCCCATGATAATAATACTATATCACCAAATTTAGTATCACAATCTCAATATCTCAATATTTTGGCACACCCCTCATTATGTTATTTTTGGTATTTAATTTCATATATTTGAATCACAGATGTTTCGATGGTTGGACTGGTAACCGTTGCCACAGAAAGACGCCTTTGACGACCCCATCTCCCACTCTGGAGGACATCAACTTTGGTAATAAACAAACTCTTACTCCTCCAGTCTGTATTACATACAGTAGTCTCTCCCTTATGCTTAAAGTGCTCTTACACATGCTGTTAATAGTATGCACTGCATTAGAGATAGGGGCCAAAATTAAGACTTATGAACTTCCCTCTTATTAGATGCTGTGTACACTGGCATTGGCATTGGGCTAGTTCTGCTAACAGCTGGTGTGACTGTGTGCATCCTCGCTGCTCTCAAGAAAAAAGGCTGTTTAATGTGAGTATTGGCAGCAGTAGAGAATCCCCTGCTCCACTTGTGTTGATGATGATGATGTTGGAGAAAAGCTTGTAATGAGTTCATTTGTCTGGCCTACAGAAAGCCCAGACCGCTGGACTATGGGGTGATGGATGACCCCATATTTGACTGGAGAGCAGAGGTTGGTGCACTCAAACACAAAATCAATCATCCAAAGATTTAATTCTGGTGATATTAGGTTTATGAGTCGAATTCTTCTCCAATTCATCTTGCTTTTATTCAATAAGTGGATTTTACATGAGCACAGGTCATAAGGTGGTATGTTTTTGATTTAAAACAATTGATTCTGTGGCCTCTGCCTTTGGGGACCTATGATTCAATTTATTCCAAATGTAACTGGTACTTTAATATTAAACAGAGGGGAAAATCCTTGAGATTCATGATCAGTGGCTGCTCTTAGTCATAAAATTCAACATTTTATATGCAGCGTTATAAATATTAACTATAACAGATAAGGCAAGCGTACAAATGAAGTTATGCTGAGTTTCAAGGAATACTATGTAAAGATGCACTGTTCCTGCTGAAGGGTCTGCCACCAGCTTGTCTCCATAGAATTGCTTTGCCTGGAATGTTCACATTATGGCATTAGATGCACATATCTATCAAAGTTATGGGTCAGATCTGTGAAAGGGCCATAAGAATAAAGTAAGAATGCAGGTTTTTCTTGGTATTTTTAGCAGTTTAAACACATGTAATTGAGTGCTAGATAGATACATTTAATTCCGTACTGTGGAATATTCAAGGCAAAGTTAGACATTTATGAAAAAGATATAGTAGAAATAGCAGCAATAGCAGAGGTAACAAAGTAGTAGTTTTCATTAGCAGCAATCACATCTCACATCACATAACTGTAGATGACATTGACACATTCATAATGTTGGAATCTCTGTATAAATACATGTAGGTGTGCACTGTTTTCACTGCCCTGACCACTGTGCTTCAACAGAAACAGCCTGCATTTATTTCTCTCTCTGAAGGATGATGATGTTTTACGAAGGTTAGATATGCAATTATAAATGCATAACAGGTCAATTAGGTTCTGATTGCACCCGCGCTTTATGTGCTGTAACCTATTAAGACCCACTTGATTTTAACACTGTGTACATGTCTTCTTTCCTCTAGTTACCATCTCTGGAAACAAGCAGCGCTAAGCCTGGTTTGAAGAGTGGTGGACAGGACCTGTCCATCAGCGTGTACCCATGGAAGAATGAGCCAGAGGTGAGCGGGATGCTCCTCTATTTCTCTAATTATCAGTGTAAAAGTCATCCAAGTGATCTATGTGTTTTTTGTGTGTGTTTTTCCAGAATCGAACTTGGAACGCTTCCAACCTGTCCTTTTCTAATCCATTGTACAACTGCCCCGCTGATGCTAATGGTCCAGACTGCACAAGCTCTGAAGCATAACAATGAATGACTTTGCATATCCATTCTGCACTAGATTTAGGTCAAAATAACACTTAGTCCTAACCCTTTGATTTGCAACTACTATAAAAATATGCAATTATTTTACAGACATGTGTTCAAGATTAATAAGCTATTCATTTTCTACCAACTTTACGGGACATTGGCTGCAGGGGTCTTTTTAACTACTTTGGATTTGAAAACAGCCTAAAGCCAGTTATTCAAACAGCCATCTATAAATTATGGCCAATTTAAATTCAACAAGTCACTCGTTGGTATACACTTTAAGATGAAATTTGATTTTTTGGAGCACTTGGAAACATTCACAACTATAGAAAATAAATTGAGATACATTTATTTTTTTATTTAGCAGACTTTGTTATCTGTTTTAATTCCCACAAGTGCAAGTACAATTGTTGCCTCTGTTTTATTTGCAAATTAAAATCCATTACAAGTCAGACTTCCAGCTCCTTTGTGTGCAGCAAGAAATGGCTGCACATTTTTCTTTGGAACAAATGCATCATTAACTAACTCAATGGGTATTTTCTTTAGTTAAATAGCATAATAAATCTTTCCACATAACTTTTAAAAGAGCTATTTACATAATGATTTACATAAATATAATATGCAATATACTGTTCAGATTCATCACCTCACCTTTTATGTGAAACATCTTACCTCTATCAAAGTTCATTGTTTCATTCTCATTTATAATAAAACCACGCATACATCATATGGTGCAGCCCTCTCGTCTTTGGTTGGTTGCACTTAATGAAAAAGTAATCAAAATACACTTCTCGTCTTCCATTTTGGCCAAAGATCAGGTTATGAATCTTTAATTTTCAGACTTTTTAGACTTAGATGACCACATTCACTACTGCCATTGCAGTTTAGCCTCGTCCTCCATCATCTGGTGTCTTTGCTGACTCGGGAGGTGGAGATTTATTACACTGTTATACAATCCATTTGAGCATTTCAATTGCTGCTTATATTGTTAACTGACCTCTCGTTCCTAGCTCCTTCTGTCTTGGAAAAGGACAAACCAAATTTTTTAAAACACTTGGGCTCATATTTGAAGGTGCACTGTGTAACTTTTCTGGTAAAGGGTCCACCATCTGCTTGTTTCCTTGCTGATGTTATTGCTTTACTTTGAATGTTTCACAGTATGGCATTAGTCTGATGTATCTTGCAATTATACCACTATGGGTGTGTTTATGCTCAAAAATACATTGAAAAACATGTATTCTTGCTTACTGAGAGTGGGGTTGCCTCACCACTGATCTAACCTGAAACCCTGTGTGGTACTGTTATTTGCTAGTCCCCATGGATATAGAAAATGTAATGCCATACTGCAACTTTCAAGGCAAAGCAATAACATCTTCATGGAGACAGGTTGCGGACCCTCTACCAGAAAAGTTACACAATGCACTAAATATTTCAAAGATAATTGGATTTTACAAACTAGTAATATGACTAAAATTGATATTATGACAGTTGCACAAGCATGGTAAAAATCTGAGATAGCTAATAGACCATGATCTTTTGCTGTATAAAATATCAGTGACACTGATATTTTATAGTATTTAAATCCATTTAAATGACTGTATTCAATGAATGCACCAAAAGCGCATCACGGCAAGTACTGCTGAACTGTGTAGTACGTAGTAGTATGATTTCATTGAATGGACACCATGAAAATATGTAATCTGGAGAGTCATTAGATAATACTTTTATTCTATGGTTAAAATGCATTATACAAAAAGCTGCACTCAAACTAACCCTTTGTTTTCAAGTGGCTTTGCAGAGTTTGCTTAATCCATTGACTAAAATATAATGATGCTTTGGTGGTCCCACACAATAATGTTTCTGGTAGCTTCAACACTGCTGCTGAATACAGTGTAGCTCCAGGCTTTGTCACTTACCCGTCAGCTTTCACTCAACTATTGTTGTCCCCATTTGTTCATGACTGAGCCCACATAAAGGTCAGTGTTTTGTTTGTGAACAGATAATGAGATAAAGAAATCCTGTGCAGTTTCTCATTGGCTGTTTTAAACTCTCTTCCCTCTCAACATCTGTCTCTTTTGCTATTTGCATATGTTTTCTGCATGGTGGTAAATCCATGATGGCACCTGCACTCACAGTCTGAAGCACAGTGGGATTTCTCATTGAAGTTCACATCACCAGTTCACTAACTTTGTAAAGAGTTCTTTGTGTTTTGAGCTGTAAAACTGTTTTATCTCGGCCTATTCCTTCCTGTCTATTGCACAGTAAAGATTCATTAGGACTTTAAAGTGAAGGCTGTTTACGCAAATTGTTCTATCAGTTACCACCTGCTCGTTCACATCAAGAGCTGTTTTCTGCACTATTGCTTCATTATATTGCATACTGTTATATAAGCTTATGACAAACTCAAAACAGTCAGTTTTTTTTTTGTTTACTGTAGGTAGATACACAGAACCTCTCACTAGGCATTAACCCCTAGTGAGAGGTTCTATGCCTAGTGAGAGGTTATATTTATCACTAGGCATTGACCCCTTCTTTTCTAATATGTCTAGACCTTAAATGAAGCTAAAGGGATATTATTTTCTGTATAATCCTTTTTTCTAGTGAGATGGGAAACTGACTGTAAAAAGAAAATGCTGAATTGATAAGCTCCATCTCTTCATAGTTGCATTATAGTGGCAACACCATTATAACATAACATGTAACATAAAATGCTAAAATGTCTCAATTTGCATGGTATCTTTTAAACTTCAGATGTTGTTATGGCATTAGCACTACCAGTATTTGTAGTAGGCTTTTTATGACTGGAGTTAATATTTTGGCCCTGTGTTATAATTGGCCCAGTGTTTTTAAAACTTTAACATTAGAATTAATTCCCAAAAGAGTAGCAAGCAAGCAGTGCTGAAACCATAACATGTTTATAATGAATACCATGTGTCTATATTTAGCACCAAATTTTTTATGTATTTCAGGAGCTGTGGAAAAACTAATGATGTCCAAGACTTGGTGGAAAACAAAACAGAGGGAAGCTTGTGTTGCATGCTTCACAGTCTGGAGTGGCCTCATCAAAAACAGTGCCTTACAACTCAACAAGTGAGCCGGCTCCAAAAAACAGAACAGCAGAATGTAATGGAAAATGCACAGTCACCTCTACCACTCAGTCCTGCTCAAATATGTAACTTTCCTCAGGCATTTTGATGGACTTGGGGAGTATGATGAGTTCCACTGACAAAACACACTATGGAATGGCCAAGTTGCAAGAAATCAAAATCCAATCCAAGTGTACTCAAGAAAAAGTACTTTAAAAACATAACTGGTCAGACTGAAGTAAAAATACTCATAAAACTGAGTACATNGTGTAAAAAAAAACTCTTATCATATCATCAAATGCATTGTGCTGTGATCTATGACCTTTACTGTATATATAACGACAGTGAATATAATACACTCCCCATGCATTTTAAACATTATAAAAATAACGGCTGTGCAATAGTGCAACAGGTGCATTATGCTTCAGTTTTCTTGGTGGTCCTTAAAAATGCAGTGTAACTTTTCTGGTGGGTTCAGCTACTGCCTTGTTTCCATGGAGATGTTGAATTAAGATGTTGCTCTTAAAAACACCTTGAAAACTACATTCTCAGTGTTAAGTTAAGTAAGTAGTGGTTCCTCCACCAAATGTTTGTTGACCGCTGACTGTGGCTTTGCTTATTTTATATTGTCTAAATTAAACTAAAACTAAGCTAAAATTAATAATTTATACACCTGTTTTGCAACGCAGACTTGAATCTTATTTTATCATCATCATTTTATCTTAGGTTAGGACAGTTGTTTTTAACCAAATCAGAAAGCCTATATGCACACAAATAAACTGTACAACTGAATTTATTGCAAAATAATCAGTTTCTCCACATTTATAGTCATCAAATTTTATACTGGAGTGTATTGGACTTGTCTGATTAGCCATAAGCCACTAAAGACAGAGGAGCATGTGCTTTGTTTTCATTTTTGGAGACGAGCGATGATTTGATCTTCAGTGACAGCCGTGACTATCTCTTCTATACAGATGTGAGCCGTCTGGGATTTATTTACTTTAAAGTGTAAAAAACATGTCACATTTGTCATCAGGACATTTGGGTGGGTCTGGACATCTGGAAAGCTCTCTGCCATTGTCACTAATGCCAAAGGGTGCTGATAAAATCCTACGCAATTGTATAAGGAAAAAAGTGGGTTATAGGTGAGTACATTTAAGTAACTTTTTTTTATTTATTACGATATAAGGTAAGGTTAGTTTGAATCTATAAATATAACTGTGGTAAATATGCAGACATGACTTTGATCACTTTCTAACTGATCTCATTACTACATAATTTGTTCATGAGTATGTTCCTGAATATGCTGTAACCAGTGTATTCACATTTAATAATTAAAGCAACATCGTGTATGCCATGCCATGTTCTGGATATGGCATGTCACCTGCATTAAGTTTTATGCCATACTTTGTTGTATTACAGTTAAAACAAGAAGATTTCCATGGAGACAAGCAGGAGAAGATCGTATTCCAGACCAAATAAGAGTCAGCTTTATGGAGATGCAACTCATAAATATGCTCATAGTAAGAACGTATGTTTTTCAGTGCAATTAAAACATCAAAAAACATGCTTTAATTTTAGGTTATTTGTTGGATAAAAAGTTAAATGGTGGAGCTGTAAATGGTTAAACATTTATGCATCTTATTATTGGCTCTAAAAATAATAAATAATATTGCAGAGATAATATATCACTATCAATATCTTAATATCAATATCAACATGTTGCTTTGAGGACACATAATTTGAATATAGAGTTTATAATAAATAAATGTGCTTAAACATCACCCACTCAGAGTATTTCAAAGTAGCTGATAGGCCTGGACATTGATTAAAAGCATCTTTCAGAAGAGCATTACAGTCTCAGTAAACCATTATCTCAACTTAAGCCCAGAAACCCTCCTCAGCTGAAATCGCCGGCTTAAGGCTGGACTCTCACATGTGCAGGGGACAGGAGCAGAAGACGGACGTGCCGGTCGATTGGCATTATGCTGCCGGCCCAAATAGCCCCTTGTTTTTGTTTTCATCTGTGGGAGAACCATTGCGGCTGATGACTCCTATTTAAAAGACCATCCAATATGCAGGGATGTCACCTCAAACTGCCCATAAACGTAATTGCCCGTCCATTTGCCACTGCCTTTAGAAGCCCCCAATAAAAGCAGCCTGTCAGACGCAGCTGCCACAAAAGTTTAGTGACAAGTTCCTCCAGCGAAAAGTTTTATAGATGCCCGCGGTGCCCAAGCAAATATGGGAGAAGTGACAAGAGAGAGAGAGGTAACAACCACTTGTGTCATATTGTAAAAAATGAAACGTCTGCCTATAATCCCTTACACTTGGAGAGGCGAGATTACGGCACGGGTGAAGCAGAGTGTGAATGATTGTGTATATCAGCTCTGACATGCAGGTTTAAAGGATCAAAACAAGCAATACAACTGGGGCTAAACAAAAGGGGGCTCATATTTTATTTCTCAAAACAAATGTATTCCTCCGGCGACAGATAAAGTCATATTAGAAGGGGGGGAATTGAAACGGGCATTTGCTCAAACTAAAAATGTAACTTCTAATTTTAGCAGCGTTTTAGTTCAAATGCAACACAATTACTGATACTACATCTGCTACTACAACACTACTGCAGCTTTGACTCTATACTTCTTCTACCACTTTCTGCAGCTGCAACTTTTTCCATCTAAGATAAAAAAAACAAAAAAAAAAACAACGTTATGACATACTGTTGACTCAAGCAGTTATTTGCAATCCAGAAATATATCCGAAAATACTACTATTACTACTACTATTACTACTGCATCCTAACTAGGGCTGGGTATCATTAAGAAGTTGCCGATAAGATACATACCTTGATACAGTGCACTTTGAATTCGATACGAAATATTTCAAAACTATTCATTGCGGTTTAATTAAAAAATAAAGGTTAAATCATGGCTGTGGTACTAAAAGTCTTTGTTAAACCACTTATCTCAATATCTCAATATTTTGGCACACCCCTCATTATGTTATTTTTGGTATTTAATTTCATATATTTGAATCACAGATGTTTCGATGGTTGGACTGGTAACCGTTGCCACAGAAAGACGCCTTTGACGACCCCATCTCCCACTCTGGAGGACATCAACTTTGGTAATAAACAAACTCTTACTCCTCCAGTCTGTATTACATACAGTAGTCTCTCCCTTATGCTTAAAGTGCTCTTACACATGCTGTTAATAGTATGCACTGCATTAGAGATAGGGGCCAAAATTAAGACTTATGAACTTCCCTCTTATTAGATGCTGTGTACACTGGCATTGGCATTGGGCTAGTTCTGCTAACAGCTGGTGTGACTGTGTGCATCCTCGCTGCTCTCAAGAAAAAAGGCTGTTTAATGTGAGTATTGGCAGCAGTAGAGAATCCCCTGCTCCACTTGTGTTGATGATGATGATGTTGGAGAAAAGCTTGTAATGAGTTCATTTGTCTGGCCTACAGAAAGCCCAGACCGCTGGACTATGGGGTGATGGATGACCCCATATTTGACTGGAGAGCAGAGGTTGGTGCACTCAAACACAAAATCAATCATCCAAAGATTTAATTCTGGTGATATTAGGTTTATGAGTCGAATTCTTCTCCAATTCATCTTGCTTTTATTCAATAAGTGGATTTTACATGAGCACAGGTCATAAGGTGGTATGTTTTTGATTTAAAACAATTGATTCTGTGGCCTCTGCCTTTGGGGACCTATGATTCAATTTATTCCAAATGTAACTGGTACTTTAATATTAAACAGAGGGGAAAATCCTTGAGATTCATGATCAGTGGCTGCTCTTAGTCATAAAATTCAACATTTTATATGCAGCGTTATAAATATTAACTATAACAGATAAGGCAAGCGTACAAATGAAGTTATGCTGAGTTTCAAGGAATACTATGTAAAGATGCACTGTTCCTGCTGAAGGGTCTGCCACCAGCTTGTCTCCATAGAATTGCTTTGCCTGGAATGTTCACATTATGGCATTAGATGCACATATCTATCAAAGTTATGGGTCAGATCTGTGAAAGGGCCATAAGAATAAAGTAAGAATGCAGGTTTTTCTTGGTATTTTTAGCAGTTTAAACACATGTAATTGAGTGCTAGATAGATACATTTAATTCCGTACTGTGGAATATTCAAGGCAAAGTTAGACATTTATGAAAAAGATATAGTAGAAATAGCAGCAATAGCAGAGGTAACAAAGTAGTAGTTTTCATTAGCAGCAATCACATCTCACATCACATAACTGTAGATGACATTGACACATTCATAATGTTGGAATCTCTGTATAAATACATGTAGGTGTGCACTGTTTTCACTGCCCTGACCACTGTGCTTCAACAGAAACAGCCTGCATTTATTTCTCTCTCTGAAGGATGATGATGTTTTACGAAGGTTAGATATGCAATTATAAATGCATAACAGGTCAATTAGGTTCTGATTGCACCCGCGCTTTATGTGCTGTAACCTATTAAGACCCACTTGATTTTAACACTGTGTACATGTCTTCTTTCCTCTAGTTACCATCTCTGGAAACAAGCAGCGCTAAGCCTGGTTTGAAGAGTGGTGGACAGGACCTGTCCATCAGCGTGTACCCGTGGAAGAATGAGCCAGAGGTGAGCGGGATGCTCCTCTATTTCTCTAATTATCAGTGTAAAAGTCATCCAAGTGATCTATGTGTTTTTGTGTGTGTTTTTCCAGAATCGAACTTGGAACGCTTCCAACCTGTCCTTTTCTAATCCATTGTACAACTGCCCCGCTGATGCTAATGGTCCAGACTGCACAAGCTCTGAAGCATAACAATGAATGACTTTGCATATCCATTCTGCACTAGATTTAGGTCAAAATAACACTTAGTCCTAACCCTTTGATTTGCAACTACTATAAAAATATGCAATTATTTTACAGACATGTGTTCAAGATTAATAAGCTATTCATTTTCTACCAACTTTACGGGACATTGGCTGCAGGGGTCTTTTTAACTACTTTGGATTTGAAAACAGCCTAAAGCCAGTTATTCAAACAGCCATCTATAAATTATGGCCAATTTAAATTCAACAAGTCACTCGTTGGTATACACTTTAAGATGAAATTTGATTTTTTGGAGCACTTGGAAACATTCACAACTATAGAAAATAAATTGAGATACATTTATTTTTTTATTTAGCAGACTTTGTTATCTGTTTTAATTCCCACAAGTGCAAGTACAATTGTTGCCTCTGTTTTATTTGCAAATTAAAATCCATTACAAGTCAGACTTCCAGCTCCTTTGTGTGCAGCAAGAAATGGCTGCACATTTTTCTTTGGAACAAATGCATCATTAACTAACTCAATGGGTATTTTCTTTAGTTAAATAGCATAATAAATCTTTCCACATAACTTTTAAAAGAGCTATTTACATAATGATTTACATAAATATAATATGCAATATACTGTTCAGATTCATCACCTCACCTTTTATGTGAAACATCTTACCTCTATCAAAGTTCATTGTTTCATTCTCATTTATAATAAAACCACGCATACATCATATGGTGCAGCCCTCTCGTCTTTGGTTGGTTGCACTTAATGAAAAAGTAATCAAAATACACTTCTCGTCTTCCATTTTGGCCAAAGATCAGGTTATGAATCTTTAATTTTCAGACTTTTTAGACTTAGATGACCACATTCACTACTGCCATTGCAGTTTAGCCTCGTCCTCCATCATCTGGTGTCTTTGCTGACTCGGGAGGTGGAGATTTATTACACTGTTATACAATCCATTTGAGCATTTCAATTGCTGCTTATATTGTTAACTGACCTCTCGTTCCTAGCTCCTTCTGTCTTGGAAAAGGACAAACCAAATTTTTAAAACACTTGGGCTCATATTTGAAGGTGCACTGTGTAACTTTTCTGGTAAAGGGTCCACCATCTGCTTGTTTCCTTGCTGATGTTATTGCTTTACTTTGAATGTTTCACAGTATGGCATTAGTCTGATGTATCTTGCAATTATACCACTATGGGTGTGTTTATGCTCAAAAATACATTGAAAAACATGTATTCTTGCTTACTGAGAGTGGGGTTGCCTCACCACTGATCTAACCTGAAACCCTGTGTGGTACTGTTATTTGCTAGTCCCCATGGATATAGAAAATGTAATGCCATACTGCAACTTTCAAGGCAAAGCAATAACATCTTCATGGAGACAGGTTGCGGACCCTCTACCAGAAAAGTTACACAATGCACTAAATATTTCAAAGATAATTGGATTTTACAAACTAGTAATATGACTAAAATTGATATTATGACAGTTGCACAAGCATGGTAAAAATCTGAGATAGCTAATAGACCATGATCTTTTGCTGTATAAAATATCAGTGACACTGATATTTTATAGTATTTAAATCCATTTAAATGACTGTATTCAATGAATGCACCAAAAGCGCATCACGGCAAGTACTGCTGAACTGTGTAGTACGTAGTAGTATGATTTCATTGAATGGACACCATGAAAATATGTAATCTGGAGAGTCATTAGATAATACTTTTATTCTATGGTTAAAATGCATTATACAAAAAGCTGCACTCAAACTAACCCTTTGTTTTCAAGTGGCTTTGCAGAGTTTGCTTAATCCATTGACTAAAATATAATGATGCTTTGGTGGTCCCACACAATAATGTTTCTGGTAGCTTCAACACTGCTGCTGAATACAGTGTAGCTCCAGGCTTTGTCACTTACCCGTCAGCTTTCACTCAACTATTGTTGTCCCCATTTGTTCATGACTGAGCCCACATAAAGGTCAGTGTTTTGTTTGTGAACAGATAATGAGATAAAGAAATCCTGTGCAGTTTCTCATTGGCTGTTTTAAACTCTCTTCCCTCTCAACATCTGTCTCTTTTGCTATTTGCATATGTTTTCTGCATGGTGGTAAATCCATGATGGCACCTGCACTCACAGTCTGAAGCACAGTGGGATTTCTCATTGAAGTTCACATCACCAGTTCACTAACTTTGTAAAGAGTTCTTTGTGTTTTGAGCTGTAAAACTGTTTTATCTCGGCCTATTCCTTCCTGTCTATTGCACAGTAAAGATTCATTAGGACTTTAAAGTGAAGGCTGTTTACGCAAATTGTTCTATCAGTTACCACCTGCTCGTTCACATCAAGAGCTGTTTTCTGCACTATTGCTTCATTATATTGCATACTGTTATATAAGCTTATGACAAACTCAAAACAGTCAGTTTTTTTTTTGTTTACTGTAGGTAGATACACAGAACCTCTCACTAGGCATTAACCCCTAGTGAGAGGTTCTATGCCTAGTGAGAGGTTATATTTATCACTAGGCATTGACCCCTTCTTTTCTAATATGTCTAGACCTTAAATGAAGCTAAAGGGATATTATTTTCTGTATAATCCTTTTTTCTAGTGAGATGGGAAACTGACTGTAAAAAGAAAATGCTGAATTGATAAGCTCCATCTCTTCATAGTTGCATTATAGTGGCAACACCATTATAACATAACATGTAACATAAAATGCTAAAATGTCTCAATTTGCATGGTATCTTTTAAACTTCAGATGTTGTTATGGCATTAGCACTACCAGTATTTGTAGTAGGCTTTTTATGACTGGAGTTAATATTTTGGCCCTGTGTTATAATTGGCCCAGTGTTTTTAAAACTTTAACATTAGAATTAATTCCCAAAAGAGTAGCAAGCAAGCAGTGCTGAAACCATAACATGTTTATAATGAATACCATGTGTCTATATTTAGCACCAAATTTTTTATGTATTTCAGGAGCTGTGGAAAAACTAATGATGTCCAAGACTTGGTGGAAAACAAAACAGAGGGAAGCTTGTGTTGCATGCTTCACAGTCTGGAGTGGCCTCATCAAAAACAGTGCCTTACAACTCAACAAGTGAGCCGGCTCCAAAAAACAGAACAGCAGAATGTAATGGAAAATGCACAGTCACCTCTACCACTCAGTCCTGCTCAAATATGTAACTTTCCTCAGGCATTTTGATGGACTTGGGGAGTATGATGAGTTCCACTGACAAAACACACTATGGAATGGCCAAGTTGCAAGAAATCAAAATCCAATCCAAGTGTACTCAAGAAAAAGTACTTTAAAAACATAACTGGTCAGACTGAAGTAAAAATACTCATAAAACTGAGTACATATCCATCTGCTAATCTACTGGAGTGAAAGATATAGATTAACTATTTAGTCTGAAAATGTATCCAGTTCTGTGCTCCAGAAATTTCAAGTAAAGATAAAGAATTATTTTCCATATAAGTTTCAGTGGGCTTGGACTAGATAACCTCCTTTGGCTCTTGTTATGGAATAAGGTGATTGTAGGAACAGACTGCAAAGAGTTTTGGCTGCTCTCCGTATCAAATGGTGATGACTAAAGTTTGGATAAAGAAAGTGTATGCGCTGTTGTGAGAAAAAAGAAGACTTTTAACAGAAGGCCTCCCCACTTCTCCGTCTGTCAGCCACCACCAAACCACAATGATGAAGTTGTTTTTACATGCATAACATATATTGCTGTGAAGTGTACTTTTACTGTGGCTTTGTCCATTTGCTGAACAGACAGTTGATCCAGACCCTGTGGTTTTTGGAGGTGTGTGCAGGAGCTGATGCAGAATTATGTGGGGAAACTCAGCGTGACCCGATCATATATGAGTTTGTCAGCACCAAGTCTTATGATCATAACAACCACATTTTAAAGAAGCCAGAGTTTCATGTTTCCTTTTTTTGTAAAGAGAGTGAGTTGTGTAGGCTATTCACTTATGCAGGTTCCCCATATCTCAAGCTTTTTTAGATTTTGGTCTCTTGTCTAAGTACATTTTGGTGCTGATAACATTTTGACTGTGGACAAAAAAAAAACAAAAACAAAAAAAAAACCCAGAATGCTTTACTAAGGTGTGTATTTTGTCATTTTCCCTTCTTGCACGAGCCCAAAAGCAGTATGTTGTGCACTGTGCAGTTGGATACTTGTCTACAGTTAAGAGGCTGGAATTAACTTGTTTATCAGTTGCCTAGTAAACTTAGGTTTTAGTTTGGTTTCTACTGGTAGCAGCCTGATAAATGTTCCTACTTAATTTCCCTTTCATTCATGCTTATTTGTTCCCAGTTTAAAACAAATTTGCACAAGGCGCTTTTCTCGCAAACTTTCCTTTTTATGACTGTTTTCCATGCGTAGCACCACTTCTGGATTCCCATCGCGCGCATCTTAATTAGTACAAGCATGTGGTTCAGGTTATCCTTCCTGTGCCCACTCCGAGCGCGCAGAGACCGGTGCCGACAGAAATGTTCCCTCGCACTCTCACACGAGCTTTCCGACATCTTAGCCCTCTAAATGTCTGGCAATTCTCCACTGGAAAAAGAAAGAAAGAAGATTTGTGCTTTTAAACATTGGCTGAATACAAACACTGTCTGTGCGGTCATGCTCGGTTTAATTTATCCTTTTCTTCCAGCACTGTGCCAAATACACCAAGAGAGGGCGCTCCCTGGTTCTAGCACCTGACTGACTTTTAGAATAAATGAAGGGGTTTTACCCAAGCACAAATGTCCAAAATGGGGCAGAAAATTATTTAAAGAAGATTGCAGTACGTTGTATAACTTTGGTAAGTGGATGTTACGATCATTAAGGTTATTCGAGCACTTTCAACTGAACTTTGCGCCTTTAATTACGTATTTAAGTACTGATGAGTAATAGCATATTAGCAATATGGGGCCAAAACGTTAAGTTAATTCCTCACACACTATTAAGTTTATGTGTTCTGTAGAGGATAGTTGTTAATAGAACAACCACTGACAACA